ACAGCAAATTGCGCAGGCAAGCGCCCCATTTCCCGTAGAGCCCTGTCCACCCAGCAGTGCATCGAATCCGAGGAACTGGCGCGGTACAAATAGCAGGCGTCCTGGCGCTATCCAGACTCAACATTGCGGAGACAAGGCCAACGTTTACTGAAAAAGAGAGGGCACCAATCAACCACACGTAAATGAAGCCCTTATCGTTCGGCGCTGGGAATACAATAGCCACGAACAACACACCAGCAAGATCACCGACAACTACACCCTCGACCAAGTGGACAAACTGGACCTAGAAGTTGTCCGTAGGACGAGGAAACCCAAATAATTGTTCCGACTACTTCGACATGAACCAGGCCAACTAAGACCCATCCTGGATGTACGAGCACACCTTGGATGAAGCTGAACAGAAACGTAGGAACCTGTGAAGCACATGGCATGATGCAAGATCCTTGCCGAAAAGTCGGACTGCAAGCCTCCTCGTGGCGGCCAGGGGTAACTTGATGCTGGCAGGATCTGTCGACGGCCGTCTCTCCCCAGAGGCGGCGGAGGGCATCAAGGCCAAGGAGGTAGAGGGGGCCTCCAGCAGACGCAAGTGTGCCGTGACGGCGGTCCGTGGCAGCCGACCCAGGGAGTGTAGGCCTAGTGCCCTGACTTTATAGTCCTCGCCGCATCGGGGGGTGCGGTCACGACTCCTACTGGGAAGGCTGTCATTGGGTGCATCCTAATCGGCACACCTCGCGGACTTGAGTTCCGCGAGCAAGGGACGGCTTGTGAGGGGTGTCTGGCCTCCCTGGCAGTGCTCCCGAGTACTGCCACGCACAAAATCGCCCTGCGGCGGATGGCTAAGCCAACCGCCGGGAGTGGTCATTTTGACCTTTGCAACTCCTTTTCCGCATGATGCAAGATGTACCACCTGCGAGTCGGACTTCTGGGAGTGCAGACACCACCCGAGCATACACCACGTCCGACCACAGATTCCCGATACGCATGCCCATCCACCTCCCCCGCCCCCTCTTCCAAGCTCGATGCGTCCCCGATGGCGGCCCTACGTGCCAGACGCTGCTCTGGCGAATCCACCATGCCGGTGGCCCGACGCTTCGACTGCGCTTCGCCTGGCATCTGCTCGCGGGCTCCGAGCACGGCAGAGGCAAGCAGAGACAGCCACCCTGAGCTGCTCTGAGCCACCTGGAGCGACCTTGGGCCAAGGTGGTTTCACTGGCACCATACCACGTTGCCGAAAGCCTGGGACGTAGAACGTCCACAGAGCCACGGACAAGGCACGCCGTGCACCACGCTGCGCACAGGGCACGCCGCCCCAGGCATGTTCTGCTACACTCCGTGAGCGGCCCGGGCGCTCCCTCCGTCCTCCCCTCCTGCCCCTCGGTGGGCCTCGGGACGATATGGGTGGAAGGGGCCCTGGGACACACACTAAGAAATACACACAGGTAACCGGCTTCCCCATGTGTTCCCACATGTTCTGGGTCGTCTTGTCTTCCCCCCCCCTTCCCATCTTTTCCCACACTCTTTCCTGGGAGTCGACGATTCCTTGTGTCTGTGTGTGTGCGTGTGTCTTTTCCCCTCCTGCTGGTATGGACGTTGGAGCCGGGTGGCCCTCCCCCCCCACACCTCTTAAGTCGGACATGTCCCCCTACAGGGGGACTTTCGACGAAAAAATAAAAATACCCCAAAAATAGTCCAAACATCATCCAAGAAATATATTACGGGGACTATTTTGGGGGTATGTTTGACCTTCTTGGAGACTATTTTTGGAGGTATTTTCAAACCCTCTTGGGGTAATTGTGGGGTACATTTCATTTTTCGTCGAAAATCCCCCTGTAGGGGGACACGCCCGACATAACCCACACCTCCCCCCCTCCCCCCTCGCAAAGGGCGCGCCTCTCGGCCCGGCGGCACGCGCGGTTTCTGCACGGGCGGAGACGCCGGGGACGCCCGACGCCGCTGCGGGAGAGAGAGAGAGGGAGAGAGGGAGGAGTGTCATATGAGTGTCATGATCGCCACAGTCTACGTGGCGGGCGGGACTAGCGAGAGCCAGGGATCAACCGACGCCCTTCGACGCGTCGGACCCGACTGACAGCGGCCTCCAAGACGGGGGCCGAAGGGCCCTTGTGGCCGGGGGAGAGAGAGGGAGAGGGAGGAGGAGGAGGAGGAGGAGGAGGAGGAGGAGGAGGAGGAGGAGGAGGAGGAGGAGGAGGAGGAGGAGGGAGGGAGGAGGAGGAGGAGGAGGAGGAGGAGGAGGAGGAAGAGGAGGATGACGAGGAGGAGAGCGGGCACGGATCCTACGGCAGATCGCCTCGATCGAAGGCCGTCGACAGGGCGCGCCTGGCCAGAGACCCACAGCAGGCAGCACGGCGGCGGCATTGGCGGCAGCGGAGGGAGGACCCAAGGTCCATGGGTGTGAGCCGCTGGGCGCAGGGTGGACGAGAACGAGGGCGAGAGAGAGGGCAAGAGTCGGGACGAGGACTGTGAGTTCGAGCTTGAGGGCGGCAACGAGCGGGGCCTCGCAGGACGAGGAGGGTTCCTCCTCACAGCTACGCCGAGACTGGCTGGGAACGTTCCCTCCGCTGGTGGTGGCTCGAGCGCGCTCGGTGCTCGTGGGCGAGTCTGAAAAGTGCCTTGGCCTTTGCCCCTGCCTCCCTCACTCGGCCCTGCGCCCTCGTGCTCCTACCAACCACGGTCCCAGCAAAACTGGTCCTGACATCCCTCTGGAGCACCATCCCGACCACGCTGCCCAACCCGCGTCCGGCCGCGGGGGCGAGGGCGCCCCAGAGCCCCAGACGAGGATCAGGACGAGGAAGAAAGCATAGCATTTATCCATGAATATACACCCACGCACCGATGGGTATTGATGTACGTATGTGTATATGAATACTACACTAGAGAAAGCCCAATCAGTAGATGCTTTGAAAATCCCACCAGACCTTTGGGCGTGAGTGGTTTAGAGAGCTCTCTCTGTTCTCAACCCCCCTTCTTCCCCTTCGGGGAGGGGTTTACCCCTCCCCCTACCCCCTTCCCTGGGCCTGGAGAGGGATTCCCGAGCGTCGCTGGGGGGGTCTTTTTCAACGCCTGGGAGGGCCAAAAAAACGACGACCCTCACGAGGATTCTGGCCCCGAGGGGGGGGGGGAGTTTGGTCCCTCAGCTCGTCTTTGAAGCAAATTATCCCGGCAAAGCAACCTAACAGCGATGTGTAGGAGCATATCTGGAAGCATTCCCCTTAAGATTCAGATGAGAATCCAGTTGTAGAATTCTGCTGTTCTCGCAGTCGTAGTCGCATTCGCGATGACAGTCGCAGTGGCGACGGCAGTCACAGTCACAGCCTCAGCCTCAGCCTGCCTCAGCCTCAGCCTCAGCCTGCCTCAGCCTCAGCCTGCCTCAGCCTCAGCCTCAGCCTGCTTCAGCCTCAGCCTCAGTCTGCCTTCAGCCTCGGCCTCAGCCTCAGCCTGCCTCAGCCTCAGCCTGCATCAGCCTCAGCCTCAGCCTCAGCCTGCCTCAGCATCAGCCTGCCTCAGCCTCAGCCTGCCTCAGCCTCCGCCTCAGCCTGCTTCAGCCTCAGCCTCAGTCTGCCTTCAGCCTCGGCCTCAGCCTCAGCCTACCTCGTCCTCAGCTTGCCTCAGCCTCAGCATCAGCCTGCCTCAGCATTCAAAATGTGGCCCGGGAATGGAGTTCTGGGAACTCGAAGAACACGAAGTGGCCTACAGTTGGCTCCGGGCATTCAAAATCATGCCCAGGAATGGAGTTTTGGGAACTCGAAGACCACGAAGTGGCCTACAGTTGGCTCCGGGCATCCAAAATGTGGCCCGGGAATGGAATTCTGGGAACTCGAAGAGCACGAAGTGTGTGACTGTTGCATCCGGCCCTCCAGAATGTGGCCCGGGAATGGAGTTCTGGGAACTCGAAGAGCACGAAGTGTGTGACTGTTGCATCCGGCCCTCCAGAATGTGGCCCGGGAATGGAGTTCTGGGATCTCGAAGAGCACGAAGTGTGTGACTGTTGCATCCGGCCCTCCAGAATGTGGCCTGGGAATGGAGTTCTGGGAAGTCGAAGAGCACGAAGTGTGTGACTGTTGGTGAAAAACGAGCGGGGCCCCCTGCCGCCCGGCAACTCCCAACGCCTGCCCGGACCCCCCTGTGGAGTGATCTGTGAGCTCTTTTGAGTCAACTAGAAACCTATCAGTCTTCGCTGTTAGGTAAAAACATTGATTGTACTACGGTATTGGCCCCAGTTTGGCCTTCTGAGGGGGCCGCGCTCCTCTTCCTTCATAGCAAAATAATTGATTTTACGAAGGTTTTGGGCTCATTTTGTCCTTCTCAGGGGACAGCGCTCATTTGCGCTTCTGAGGAGGTCGCAAGAGGCCCCAAGATGGCCCCAAGAGCCCCCCAGGAGGAGATCGATAGTGGAATCGATAGTGAGGACGATTGTAAGGTCGATCGTGAGACCGAGAGCGAAATCGATTTGAGATCGACAGTGAGATCGATCGCGAGATCGCTCATGCGATCTCTAGTGAGATCGTTTGTGAGATTGATAACGAGATCGACGGTGAGATCGATGGTGAGATCGATCGAGAAGTCGGTAATGAGATCGATGGTGAGACCGATCGATGAGAAGATCGACCAAGAATCCGGGAGCCTCGCCGCCCTCCGAAATCGGCCCGGAACCCGGAACAGGGAACCCGGGAACCCGGAACCGGGAACCCGGGAACCCGGGAACCCAGCCTGCCACCAAAATCGGCGGGGAACTCTCGCTAAACCCTTCCACTTCCGCTAGGACCCCTTCAGTGCAAGCACTGATTGGAGAACAATTCTGTGTGTATATATATATATGTGTGTGTGTAGTCCCTCCTCCCTCTGCAGCGAAGAGGCATCGCCGAGAACGAGAACGACAACGACGGCCACTACGACGACAACAACGACGACCACGACGAGGACGACGACGATCCGACCCCGGGGGCTGCTGGCCGGCCGATCGGCCGGGCCACTAGGGCGGCGTCAGCTGCGCGGACCGCTGGCGCATCGCCTCCAGCGCCTCGGCCTGCTCCTGCTCGGGCCCCCTGGCAGGGCCGGAGCCCTGGCCCTTCGGCACCTCTGGCGAGAGGGCAGGCGCAGGCACGAGGATCGAGGGCCGAGGCTTCGGGGCATCCGCTGGCTTTTTGGCCAGCGGAGGCACCCGCGTCGCCGCGGCTGGATGGGCCTTGAGATTCAGACCAGAACGTGTTCCGGCAGAGGTCTGCGGGGACTGAGCGAGGGGGGAAACAATATATACACATATAAAGTTATCAACATATATATATATATACACACACCTGTGCATATGCATGCACATGCACATGAACATATACATGTACATATACATATGGGCACATGGACACATGCATACGTGGGTACTTGAATACACGTCTAGCTATCTATCTATATATATACATATACATATGTATATATATAGATATGTAAATGCACGTTTGCATGAACTCACAAATGGACAAGTGCATACAACTATACATATGCATACCCATTCATGTATGCATATCCAGGTACAGATACGTACAAATACGCATGTACATATACATATACCTCTACACATACATATATGTGACCACATGAACATATACATATACGCTGACATGTACATAGACCTGCGCATATACACATGAAAATATGCACCCCTACACATGCACATACATATATATATATACATGGATACAGTTACATTCACACATACGTACACATATACATACATATGCATAGTCACATACAACTACATCTATATGCGCATGCATATAAATACAAATGCACGTACACGTACACATACATGTATAAATTATTAGACATATCCGCATACATAAATACGTAAAACTACATATACAAATGCATGTGCACACATATACATACACATATAGGTTTACATGTACCGGTACCTACACAAGTACATATATATATATATATATATACACATACATCTATACACACACATATATGTCGAACCAGGATGAGGAGGTCGGGAGTAGGATGAAAAAAGGGAGGGGAAGGCCCCATCCATCTCTCCGTTCCCTTCCCAGCCCGCCCCCGTTCCCCTCTCCCCTCGCTCTCCGCAGCGTCCCCCTTCCTATCTTTCCCTCCCGCCTCCATCATCCCTCTGGAACGGAGGCAAGGGACAGAAGGAGAGCCGGCCAACGAACCAGCGAGTCAACCAGCCAACCAGCTGGCCAACGGCCAGCCCACCAGCCGAGCAGCAAACAATCAAAAGAGCCAACAAGCCTACAAATTAGCCAACCAGCCAGCTAATCAACCCCTCACGTTTATCAACGATGTCACGGCGAGGCCCGCATACATGTGTTATACCAGCCATCCAACCAACCTTCCTGCCAACAAACAAAGCATCCCCTCGCATGCCTGATAATGTGGCACAGAGCGGGGCGAGAATTCTGGTCGACCAGGGAACCAACGTGAGCACGATACCTTTCGAGCCGCCAACTATGCCAAGTCAGACGTTTACAATGTCACGTCCTGGCCTGTGTGCACGCAGGTCTGAGCCCACCAGAAGTGCACGCACGCGGAGATCCTGGGAAGAACAATGACGATAGCAGCGATGAAATCGATGATGGTGGTGATGAGATGGGTGATGGATGATGGTGATGGTGAGATGGATGATGGATGATGATTGAAATACGTTGCAATTACGCTCGGCACAGACGGATGATGGACGCAACGCAAACGGAACAGACTTGGCACAATTGGCTCGAAAGGTACCGTAATCATTCAAAGTCTGGCCCTGAAATGACATAGTCCCAGTTCCCCCAAGGAAGCCCAAAGATGACCAAAGAGGCCCAAAGACCGCCCCAAGACGGCTCCGGCACAGACCAGGCGACCTCCAAGACGGCCCTACAACGCCCTAGAAGTACCCCAATCGGCCCCCAAAGAGTCCTTAAGACGGCATCCGAAGGCTTCTAACGGGCCAGAGGCGCCGTGAGAAGGCCCCCGGAAGCCCGAAGAGGTCCCAAAGAAGCCCCCAGAAGCCGCCCAGAGGCCGCCAAGAGGCCGCCGAATGCTCGCAGGTGATTCCAGGAGAGCCCCAAGAGGCCACCTCCTCCTCCTCCTCCTCCCCCTCATCCTCATCCTCATCCTCATCCTCATCCTCCACCTCCTATTCCTCCTCCTCCTCCTCCTCCTCCTCCTCCTCCTCATCCCCCTCCTCCTCCTCCTCCTCCTCCTCCTCCTCCCTCCTCCTCCTCCTCCTGCTCCTCCCTCTCTTCCTCTTCCTCATCATATCCATCCTCTTCCTCCTCCTCATCTCCTCCTCCTCCTCCTCCTCCTCCTCCTCATCATCATCATCATCATCATCACCATCGTCATCATCATCATCATCATCATCATCATCATCATCATCATCATCATCATCACCACCACACCGAACATGGTCATCATTTTCACGACCACTACCATCACAACCATCATCATCGTCATCAGCAGCAGCGTCATTACCAGCATCATCATCATCAGCATCATCATCTGCAGCATCATCATCATCAGCAGCATCATCATCACCATTGCCATTCATCACCACCGACAACAACAACGTCGTCATCATCATCATAATGATCGTGGTCGTCAACATCATCATCATCATCATCATCATCATCAGCATCATCATCATCATCATCATCATCATCATCATCATCACCAGTATCAGCATCATCATTGACGTCGTCAGCTACATCATCATCATCACCACCACCACCATAATCAGCATCAGCATCACCAACATCAGCATCAGCATCATCAGCATCGTCGTCGTCATCTTCGATGGCAAAATCATCATCTACAGCATCGTCAGCATCATCAGCAGCAGCATCCTTATCGTCATCAACATTATCGCCAGCTTTATCATCGTCATCATCGTCGTAATGACCATCATCATCAGCATAATTATCAGCATCGATATCATCACCATCAACATCGTCATCATCATCAACACCACCACCATCATCATGATGATCAGCATCATCATCTTCATCACCACCATCAGCATCATCAACATCATCACCATCATCGTCGTCGCCTTCGTCGTCGTCAGCAGCATCATCAGCATCAGCATCAGCATCAGCATCAGTACCGCCGATATGATCATCATTATCACCACCACTACCACAACCACCATCATCACAATCATCAGCGTCAGCATCAGCATCAGCAACAGCATCATCATCATCATCATCATCATCAGCAGCATCATCAGCATCATCATCATCATCGCCAACAGCAACAACAGCAAGAACGTCGTCATCACCATCATAACACTCATGTTCGTCTGCATCATCATCATCATCATCATCATCATCAGCAGTAGCATCATCAGTACCATCAGCATCACTAATATCATCGTCGTCAGCAGCAGCATCATCGTCGTCGCCAGCTTCGTTGGTATCATCATCAGTTCCACCACCACCACCACCACCACCGCCACCACCATCATCATCATCATCATCATCATCATCATCATCATCATCATCATCATCATCATCGTAATCTGCATCATCATCATCATCATCATCAGCATCAGCAGCATCATCATCATCAGCATCATCATTATCATCAATCATCATCACAGGGCCGAACCTAAACGGTGTTTTACGTTGTCGTTTGGTTTTCGTGTTCTCTTGTTTTGTCTTCAATCCGCCTTTCACGCAAAACGAAATTGAAACGAAAAAACGGCCCACGAAATCGCGAAAACACCGTTCAGGTCCACCCCTGCATCATCATCATCATCATCATCATCATCATCATCATCATCATCATCATCATCATCATCATCATCATCATCATCAGTATCAGCATCAGCATCAGCATCAGCATCAGATCGCCCACATGATACCTTCTCTCCTCACCATCCCCTCCCTCCTCCTCCCCATGAATCGGGGATGGACAGAGCCCCCTTTGGTAAAACGTGGTTTGGTGAGAACGACCCGAGGCCCACACCTGGCGGGCGCAGACCTGGAAAATAACGGCCACGGCGCCCTCTCGAGAGCCGAAAACGGACAATTCACTCATCGACGTGCAACTGTTGGGGGCTCTGCCCGCCCCCGAGTGATGAAAGCCCCACGGCACGCCAATGCCACAAGTGTGCGGGCCAACTTCCCTTGGGGGGGGGGGGCTGCCGCCGTCGACCCCCGCTCCCGCTCTGCGGGCTCCACCCCGCTTGCACACACGCATCGACCCCCCCCCCGAGAACCTCGCCACAGGTGCAGCACGCGATGCCGTCGTCGCTGATGTCGCGCTTGTGGATGGCGTTCACGATGCTCAAGAGGACCCCGCCGCCCATGACGCCGGCCGCGATCTTCCTGGCGAGCTCGAGCTCGATGCCGTTGCCTCTCGTGAAGAAGGCCACACACTCCTGGGGAGAGTTGGCAGGGTATGGGCACGAACTGTCAAAAAGCAAGCGTGGCCAAGCACACTGGGAGGGCAAGGATGCGCGTCGGCAAGCGCACCTCATGAAGAGTAAAGAATCGATCGCAGGCGATTGCATACCAGGGACAATTCGACAGGTGACAGTACGATGCGGTTCGGTAAGTGATTGGGGGCCCGATGTCCGAGTGTAAGGGTTGCGGAAGCACACAGTGCGAAACGGCGAAAAAATTCGACAATCCCACTGTCCCCCCCTGGAGCCGAATCAGTGACCACCGCCGCTTCCTCGAAGCGCATCTCGTTGTGGTGCCGGCGAGCTTGCGCTCCAGTACTGGGACGGATCGTTGCCCTCACGGCCCTGACACGCCCTAGAGAGGCGGGGAGAAAGGAGGGGGGGATGAGGAGGCGGAGCAGCAGCAGTACGATGACGAAGTCCTCCTCATCGAGTTCCTGGATGTATGATCTTCAGAGATATCATCCTCTGGCTCCTCTTCGACATCCTGAATACCGTGGAAGAACCAGACCACGCCATCGGGAATCTTCTGGCCCGGCTCAGTCCAAACCCGGGTCAGTCAGGCTTTGCAGGAACCCGCACGATCCTGCAGGATCCTGCAAGACCCTGCACCGAAACCTGGGTCGATGCGCCACTGGCTCTGCAGGATCCTGCAAGTTCTGGCGCTCTGGCTGACCCCCGTATGCATTGACCCCCACCTCTTTTTGCGGTGGACAAACCTCCCTTTAGCAAACCTCCCCTTAGTGAAAACGGCCTAGGACCGAAACCGACGGGCCTGGACCCGCAAAAATGACGGCCGCGACGCCCTCTCGCGAACCGAAAACGGCCAACTCGCTGATCGACGTGTCAGGGTAGGAGGTCTGTCCACCCCCGACGTAGGAAACACGAAGTGGGAAGGCGGATATCGTGGATTGGATCCAGGTCCTCCCAGAGAATAACAACAACAAAAAAAAACGCAGCAGAAGCATGCCGATTCTTGAAGTAGGAAGGCGCTTGAAGTAGATTGGGGCCTGGGAATCCAAGAATACCTACTTTCAACGACCGGCGCGTACCCGCTCGCATGCACCGCCGTCTCCTCCCGAGGCCACGACCCCTCGCATGATACGAAAAGGTTCGCGCTCCCGAGGCCCAGAGGCCTCCAGATCGGATCCCTGTCGCTCCAAGACGGGCCGCGCTTTGGCCTCAGGGCGGGCCCACGAGCCCGGCGAGGCGTCCCACGAGAGCCCCACAAGCCGCCCCCACAGGGCCTCGAGAGGCGAAACTCCTGTACACCCTGCGAGATGCTTAAGAAATCATGGGTTAAGAAATTCATAGTCTCAGAAATTGAATAAAAACCCAGAACTTCTATCAAAATCTTGGGATTTACATTGGAAAGTTAAGAATAATCGAGACTCTGGCCGAAAACTTAAGTTTCCTTAAGCATCGCCTAAGGTGTATTTCCCTCGCGTGCACGCGGCGACCCCCGCCCCTCGAGCCCCCACGGCGCCTCCGGCGCGAGAGGCTCCGGGGGAGGCAAGTGGCGAGCGAGCGCGCTCCGGGAGAGGCCGGCCCGCAGCGCGGCGGCGGGGCGCGGCGGGAGGCTATAGAGACCCGCGCCGGCAGCCCGCATGGGGAGGGGAGCACCTCTGTGAGGGGGCCCTGGGACACACAATTCAATACAGACCAAGAAAAGGATTCCCGATCTTTTCTCCTATTTTCATGGCCTTGGTCTTCCCCCCACCGCCCATATCTTCCCATATTTTCCTGCAACCTGCATGGGCCCTGGGACACACAATTCAATACAGACCAATAAAAGGAGTTCCTATATTTTCTCATATTTTCGTTGCCTTTGTCTTCCCCCCACCGCCCATATCTTCCCATATGTTCCTGCAACCTGCATGGGCCCTGGGACACACAATTCAATACAGACCAATAAAAGGATTCCCGATATGTTCTCATATTTTCATGGTCTTTGTCTTCCCCCCACTGCCCATATGTTCCCATATTTTCCTGCAACCCGCATGGGCAGACAAATAAAAGGATTCCCGATATTTTCTCATATTTTCATGGGCTTTGTCTTCCCCCCACTTCCCATATGTTCCCACATCTTCCTGCAACCTGCATGGGCCCTGGGACAACATCGGATCGGGGATGGACACAGCCCCCTTTAGCAAGACGCGGTTTGGTGAAAACGACCTCGGGCCCAAAGCTGGCGGGCGCAAGCCTGGAAAGTGACGGCCGCGGCGCCCTCTCGAGAACCGAAAACGGACAACTCACTAATCTTATGTCGGGCGTGTCCCCCTACAGGAGGATTTTTCGACGGAAAATCAAAAATACCCAAAAAATATCCCAACAAGGTCAAAAAATACTGAAACATAAAATAATCCCCAGACTACTTTTTGGGACTATGTTTGGGCTATGTTGGGGGTATTTTTTATTTGTCGTCGAAGATCCCCCTGTAGGGGGACTGGCCCGACTTAAAGCTTGCATGGGGAGAGGAGCACCTCCGTGAGGGGGCCCAAGGACAACATCGGGTCGGGGATGGACAGAACCCCCTTTAGCAAGACGCGGTTTAGTGAAAACGACCTCGGGCCCAAACCTGGCGGGCGCAAGCCTGGAAAGTGACGGCCGCGGCGCCCTCTCGAGCCCCGCACCAGCAGCTTGCATGGGGAGAGGAGCACCTCCGTGAAGGGGCCCTGGGACACACAGATAAATACACACAAAGAAAAGGATTCCCCCTGTTTTCTCACATTTCCAGGGCTTGTGCCTTCCCCTACATGTTTCCAGATTTTCCTGGGGATCGACGATGAATTGTGTCTGTGTGTGTTTTGTTCCCCTCCCGACTCTGAACGGGCCCAAGGACAACATCGGATCGCGAGACAACATCGGATCGGAAAGGGGTCGTTATCGCCGGCGAGTCGCCCCGAGTCGGATCGAGCTCGGCTTGCCCCGGCCGCTGCGCGAGCGGCTCGAACCACATCGGATCGAATCGAATCGAAATCGGATCGAAGCGCGTCGAAGCGGATCTGAAGGGGCCCTGGGACACACACACACACACACTCACAAAACTATACATACAAATCACAGAGAGAGCGTGATCCACCGCCGCTTTACTGTGGAAAATTGCCCACCTTTTCCTCCGGAGCCCGGGGTCGCCCCCCCCCCCCCCCCGAAAATCCCCCCCCCTGCTGGAACCCCTCCCCCCCTCCCCCCCCCCCCCCCCTCCCCCGATAAAACCCCCCCCCCCTAACCCCCCCCCCCCCCCCCCCTCCGCTCGAAAACCGGGGGGGTCACTACCGGTTCGAACCCCCTCCCCCCCCCCCCCTCCAGATCCGGAAACCGCGGGGGGGTCACTACCGGTTCGAACCCCCCCCCGCCCCCCCCCCTACACTCACCGCCAGCAAACGACTCCCGGTCCCCACCACCGTCCGCATCACATCCCCCACTGGTGTTCCCAGCACCACTGTCCTCACCACCGCTGTCCCCACTGGTTCCACCACCGCCCCTACTGTCCCCACCAGTGGCCCCACCACTGTCGCACTGTCCCCGCTGTCCCCAGAACTGTTCCCACCACGGTTCCACTCTCCCCACTGTCTCCACGGCCCCAACCACTGCCCGACTATCCCCACTGTCCCCACTGTCCCACTGACTCCTCCGCTGTCCCACTGAGCTGTCCCACTGTTCCCACCACTGTCCCCACTGTCCCCACCACTGTCCCCACTGTACCTCTGTCCCATTGTCCCACCGCCGTCCTCGCCACCGCCTTCACCACTGTCCCCACCACCATTGTACCCTCCACTGTCCCACTGTTTCCACCTCATTCCCATTGTCCCCACACCACTGTCCCCACCACCACCGTCACCACCACTGTCCACTGTCCCCCCCTGTTCCCACCATTGTCCCCACCACTGTCCCCACCACTACCGTCCCCACCACTGTCCCACTGTCCCACTGTCCCCACCACTGTCCCGCTATCCCCTCACCACTGTCCCCACCAACACCGTCCCCACCACTGTCCGCACCCCCACTCGGTTTTCGAGGGGGGGGGGTTCGAACCGGTAGTGACCCCCCCCGGTTTTCCGGATCCGGAGGGGGGGGGGGGGGGAGGGGTTCGAACCGGTAGTGACCCCCCCCCCCCTTTTCATGATGAGCAGGGGGGGGGGGGGGAGGGGTTCGAACCGGTAGTGACCCCCCCGGTTTTTCCGGAGGGGGGGGGGGGGGGGAGGGGTTCGAACCGGTAGTGACCCCCCCCGGTTTTCCGCCAGCAGCGGTAGAACACGCTCTTTCAAATCACATGATGCCCGATGTGCTCCCATATGTTCGGGGTTTTGGTCTTCCCCCCCACTTCCCATAGTTTCCCATGTTTTCGGTGGAATCGACGATTCATTGTGCCTGTGTGTTTTTCCCCTCCTGAAGCTCACTCTACGGTTAGGCCGGGCATGTCCTGCTACAGGCGGATCTTGACGGAAAAGAGAATCGAGAAAAAATCGCCACCCGACTAGCTTTTCTACTTGGGGCAGTGCAAAGGGGGGTCACCACTAGGGGGGTCGCCATTTCCTCGAGGAAACGCCACTTCCTCGAGACTTCCTCGAGGGACTGGGCCCCCCAGAGCCCCGAAAACGCAAAGAAACGTCCAAGAACATCCTCGACCCCTCGACTCTCCATCCTGGAACCTCGACTTCCAGGAGAAGCTGGCGACCCCCCCAGGTGGTGACCCCCCTTGGCGCTGCCTGACTGCTGCTCTTGCACACTCCCCCCAAAGAGGGACGGACGTGCCCGAGCAACCGCCACGGCGGACGCAGGGCACTGCACCGGCAGAGCTGCCGCAGGAGGAGCTGGACGCCACCTCTTCAAGTCGGGCACCGCTCGCGCTCGGAAGAGGCCACGGCCGCACGCGGCCCTGCCGCCATGGGCGCCTCCCCCGGCCTGATCTGCACCGGGGATGGACGGAACCCCCTTTCGTACAGCGCGGTTCAACAAAAACGACCTCGGGCCCAAACCTGGCGGGCGCAGGCCCGGAAAGCGACGGCCGCGGCGCCCCCGCGAGAGCCGAAGACGGACAACTCACGAATCGACGGTGTCAGGGTGTGAGGGCCGTCCACCCCCGACTGCATCGGATCGCGAGACATTGGCGGCGCGCAGAGAGGGGGCCGCTTCTTAGAAGGCGCCGGCCGGAGGCCCGCGCCTTCTAAGAAGCAGGGGTGCTTCTAAGAAGCCTTCCCCCCTCCTCCTACGCCCCTCTGCATCGGATCGCGACGCAAAATCGGATCGGAAAGAAGTCGGGTCGCCGGCGAAGCGCCCCGAGTCGGATCGAGCTCGGATTGCCGCGCCCGGCCCCGGCTTGCCCTGGCCACTGCGAGCGGCTCGAACCACATCGAAGCGAAGCGAATCGAAATCGGATCGCATCGCGTCGAAGCGGATCTGAAGGGGCCCTGGGACACACAACAATAAATGCACACAAATCACAGGATGCCCCATATCTTCCCATAGTTGCTGGGTGTTCGTCTTCCCCCCCACTTCCCATGTCTTCCCACATCTTCACGAGTCATTGTGCCTGTGTGTCTTGCTCCCTCCTGAGGATCGCAGGTGGACTCGCAGGCGAACCGCACCGCGGCAGATCGGCCTGCGCCGCCAGGCCCCGCGCAGCGCGGGCCGCGCGGCCTCCGGATCGGGCCGCGCGGCGAGGAGGAGGAGGAAGAGGAGGAGGAGGAGGAGGAGGAGGAGGAGGAGGAGGGCGAAGCAGAGGGGGCATCAAGAGAAAAGGGGGGGCAAGCAGAGTCGGCCCAGGCAGCCGGGCCGCCCGGGGCGCCTCCAGGGGCGCCACGGGGCGCCCACGGAGCCGAGGAGGGCGCGCCCGGGGGCGGGGCCGCGGCCGGCGAGCTCGCTGCCCCCCCTGTCCCGAGCCTCTCTTCGCTCTCGTCCGGCCCGAGGGGGGCGGGGGGGGCACGCGCGGCAGCCGCGCCCCCCCCCCCCCCGCCCGGCCCTGCAACGCGGCAGACGACAGCGTCAGGCCACCAGACGTGCACCAAGCGAGCCAGCGGCCGCAACCCGTGCGCCCGGCGGTCGTCTGCGAGGCCCCCGCCCTCCCTCCTCTGGATCGTCAGCTTCTTCCTCCTTGTGGTGGTTCGGGGGCAAACCGCAGCTCTCGCACCGCGTCGCGGCGCCGCCGCGAAGCTTGAATCGGGGACCAACCCGCTAGCTGCGCCTGGATTTGGGAAGATTGCCCGAGGGGGGCCCTGGACGGGGCCCCAGGACTCCCGAGCGCCTTCCGGAACCAGAGAGGTCTTGGGTCTGCGGACCACTTCTGAACGATTTCTGCCTGGGGGAGGGAGGGACGGGGACGAAGGGAGGATCCTCCTCCTCCTCCTCCTCCTCCTCCTCCTCCTCCTCCTCCTCCTCCTCCTCCTCCTCCTCCTCCTCCTCCCCGTCCTACCTGTGGCACTGGTGGTGGAAAATCGGCCAATCTAAGGAGAGGCAGAAATACGAAGGAAGGAAGGAAAGGAGCAGGAGAAGGACCTGGATCAAACCCGGGCAGGAACAGCAAGAGCGGCAGAGGGAGCGGCACCGTCAAGCGACGACGGCGACGGCGACGACGACGACGATGGTGGCGGCGACGACGACGCGCTCCTTCGAGGCGGCGTCCAGCGACGTGTACTTGGGGCTCGTCAGGCCGCACGGGATGATGTAGGGCTGCAAGCTGTCGAAGAGGCTCCCGTCGCCCATTGGCGGGAGCACCAGGATCACGTAGCAGAAGCCGGCGACGAGGGACGCCATGTGTGCGACCGTGCCCACCTGGGAAGGCAGGAAGGAAAAGGGAGGCGGAGGAGGACGGAGGGAAGGAGGAGTGAAGAGGCCCTGGGACACACAAATAGATACACACAAGCAACAGAATCTCCCATATGTTCCAATAGTTTGTTGATTTTTGTTGTCTTCCCCCCACTTCCCATAGTTTCCCATATTTTCATGGGAGTCGACGATTCATTGTGTCTGTGTGTTTCTTTCCCTCCTGAAGGAGGGGGAAAGGATGGCGACGTGCTTGTCCTTTCGCTGCGGGCCTCCGGGGAGCCCCGCGCCGCCACGGCAGGAGAGTCGCTTCGCGGCCGTGGTCGGAACGTGGTCTTTCGCAGGTCCGAGGATCGTATTTGAGATACGTTTAGGGGTGCGAAGAGAGGAGATCGAGAAGGGATGCGAGATACGTTTGGGGTACGAGATGGGAGAAACGATATGGAAGTGAGGAGACGCAGAGGAGGCCGAGGAACAACGACCTGGAGAGGAGGGAGAGGAGCAAATGGGGAGGGGATCGGGGTGCAGGGGGCCAGGGAAGGGGGATCATGGAGGAGTGAGGAGGAAGTGCTGAGAGGCAGGAGAGGCTGAAACATCAGGGGGGGAACCTTCGCACGACCCCACCACCACATCCCCCCTCCTCCTCCATCTCCCTGCCCATATTTCACCTCATCTTCCTCTTTCTCCACGTGCTTGACCATCCTTTGCTCCTGCTGTATTTTTCTTCCCTGCACATAACTCCTGTGTCGTACCCCGACACACGTCGGTAGGGCGGGCCTGGCATTTCGCCTGAGACTTCCTCACCATGTATGACCCTTACGCCCAAAAGTTGCAACAGCTTCACGGATGGAGGGCGGGTAGTTTTCAAAATGTGGTTATCGCCTGAGCGCCGCGCACATTCGTCTTATTCATTTGCAGGAGCTTCACGGACGGAGGATGGTTTCCTTTTCAAGTTGTGGCTCTCGCCTTAGCGCCGCGCATATTCGTCTTGAGAGTTTGCGGCAGATTCAAAGTTTCTGATGGTTGACGTCCCAGAAATTGTGTTCCGGCGCGACCTAAGCAGCGCAGCCCTGTATCGCATCGGGCAATCGTAATCGCATCGCCTAGAACCAGATCGCTGCGAACCGCCAGCGAATCGAACCGGGAACCAAATCGCAAGACCCCGAATCGAACCGGGAACCGGATCGCAAGCCCGTCGAATCGAATCGGGAACCGGATCATGGATCGGGGCCTGGCGCTCTCTTCAGGACCCCACAGAGTTCCCCCCCCCCAGAGCCACCCCCAGTGCCCCGACCGGTGCCCCCCCCGGATGCTGCCCCCCAACAGGTGCCCCTCCCCGGTGCCCCCCCCCGCCCCGGTGCCCCTCCCCGGTGCCCCCCCCCGATGCCTCCCCCAGTGCCCTCCTCTGGTGCTCCTCCCCGGTGCGCTCCCCTGGTACACCCCGGTGCTCCTCTGGTGCTCCTCCCCGGAGCTCCTCCCCGGTGTGCTCCAGTCTGGTCCAGGACGTAAGGCCACTGGGGTCGGCACATGAACGCCCGTCCTGTTCGCCTCACTGGCGCAAAGAACGGCGCCGCGCATTCTTCGAGGCCGAGCCGGGTGCCATTTCATTCCACGGCTGGCAAAAAGGGGAGGCCGAGGAGGAGGAGTGCAGGGGGGGGCGGGTAGAGTCTGGCGTCGCCGCTGTGGCGCTGGTAATTCATGATGGTGCTGCTGCGCTGCTGTTGCTGGAAATCGCTGCGTCGGCGTTGCTGCGAGTGGCGTCGCTGCTCCGTGCCGTGGCGCCGGCTGTGGCGTCGCTGTCGCAGTGGCCGCTGTGCTGCTCGTGGCTCTGGCTTTGCTGCTGCTGGTCGCAGGCGTCACGGTCGCAGCAATGGTGCCGCGCAAGTCCCTGGCGCCACTGGTGCTGCTGCCCTCGGTATCCCGGCTTGCGCCCTCGCTGGGTCTGCCCTGCGGCCCCGCGGCAGCTGCCCGTGAGCGGGCAGGGGGCGCTGGGCAGCGGCCGCGGGCCCTCCTCCTCCTCCTCCTCCTCCTCCTCCTCCTCTTCTCCACCTCCTCGTCCTCCTCCTCCTCCTCCTCATCCTCCTCCTCCTTCTCCTCCTCCTCCTCCTCCTCCTCTCCTCCTCCTCCTCCTCCTCCTCCTCCTCCTCGTCCTCTTCCTCCTCCTCCTCCTCTTCCTCTTCCTCTTCCTCCTCTCCCTCCTCTTCCCTCCTCCTCCTCCTCCTCCTCCTCCTCCTCCTCCTCCTCCTCATCTTCCTCTTCCTCCTCCTCTTCCTCCTCCTTCTCATCATCCTCCGTGCTGGTCCCAGCATGTGGGAACGGCCTCGGGTGCCGATAGCAGCAAGCAGCGCCTCGGCGTTAATTGCCAGGAGCAGGCAGCTGAGGTGCTGCCGGGCATAACGCAGCACCTCGGCGCGACCTGCCCCAGGGAGAGCACATTGGCGATCGTTGTGTCGCAAAGCTGGCCGCCTGCTTCAAAGACGACAGTGGCGAGCTCGCCAACATGAGGCGCCTACCTCTGGTGCCTGTCAGCCTCGCGACCTTGGGCTGCTATACCATAGCGACCCAGCCGTGCCCGCTGGCACGACTGATCCTCTTTTTGAGAGCATGTTATGCTCGTGTCGAGATAGATCACGTTGCCCGTAACCGCGTCGCGCGTAGCGACGCCCAGCTTCGCCTCCTCCAACAAAGCAGTGATCGGTTTGGTGCGGCTCCAGGCTACAACACACTGTTCCGTGGTCGCTGCGCAGCCGATGATTTTCTAGGGCCCCCACCCACGTATGCTCTTACTCATCCTGTGAAGGGGCCCTGGGACACACAACAAAATACACACAAATAACCGGATTCCCTATGTGTTGCCATATGTTATTGCTTTTTGTCTTCCCCCACTTCCCATGGTTTCCCAGGTCTCCTGGGGAATCGACGATGAATTGTGTCTGTGTGTTTTTTTCCCTCCTGATGATTATCTTCAACCCCCTCTCCCTCCCCCACCCACGTATGCTCTTACTCGTCCTGATTATATTCGACTTCCTCTTCCTCCCCCTCCTCGGCCGTCCCTCCTCCTTGCTTCTTCCCCACCCTCTCTCGTGCAGCCTGCGGCCTCCCGCCCCCTCCCATCCTCCCTCCACGCTCCACCGTTCCTCGCTTCCTTCCTCTGGCCTCCTCCCTCCTCCCTCTCACTCCCACCGCCTGCCCCTCCTCTTTCCCCCTCCAATCCCCTGCTTCAGCTGGACTTCCTCCTCCTCCTCCTCCTCCTCCTCCTCCTCCTCCTCCTCCTCCTCCTCCTCCTCCTCCTCCCCCTCCTCCCCAACCCTCCATCTTTGTCCCTCCCCCCCTCTTGTCGATACCACCCTCTGACGCTTACGATCCTACTCCACATTCTCCTCACATGACTGCGAGGACAGCATACACTGCCCCGACCAGCAAAAGTTACAACGCAGCAAAGACAAGCAGGCAGAGCTCGGCAGAGACAGCAAGTAAAACCCTAGCATGCTGGTGGTCTTCCCGAAAGAGCAGGAGAAGGCACAAGAGAGCCCCAACAGGGCCCGAAAAAGGCCTTAGAGAGGCACCTTGAACTGCCATTCCGAACCCTCCACCCAAAGAGGACCCCCGAGACCTCCGGCAGGCGCCCAAGAAGCTCCCAAGAGGCACGAAGAGGCCCCCAAGAGGCCCAAAAGAGGCACCCAAGGAAGGGGGTCCAAGGAGGCCAGAAAAAAGGCCTCACCCGAGGACTGCATCCCTCTCTAAGAGGTCGGCGAGATGGCGTAAGTCTCTTGGCGTGAGCCTCCTCCGTCACCACATGTTCGACCTCCTCCACCTCCTCCTCCTCAACCTCCCTGGCACCATCATTAGCATCATCACCATCATCCTCATCGAAGGCATCGTCGTCGCCAACACCACCACCACCACGACAACCACAACCACCGTCAACACCACCACCAACGACCCATCCTCACCAGTATCACCACAATCGACATCAACGATAGCAGCATCAGCATCATCATCAGCAGCAGCATCAGCATCATCATCAGCATCGTTATCAGCATCATCGTTACCAACGTCATCGTCATCATCATCATCATCATCATCATCATCATCAGCATCATCATCATTATCATCATCATCATCATCATCATCATCATCATCATCATCAGCAGCAGCAGCATCATCATAATCATCCTCCTCCTCCTCCTCATCATCATCACCATCATCATCATCATCATCATCATCATCATCATCATCATCATCATCATCATCATCATCATCATCATCATCATCATCATCCTCATCATCATCATCATCATCATCATCATCATCATCATCATCATCATCATCGGCATCATCATAAGCATTAGCATCAGCATCATCATAGGCCACACCAGCAGCAGCATGAGCAGCAGCATCTGCATCGTCATCATCAGCATCATCATGATCAACAGCATCGTCATCAGCAGCACCATCATCAGCATCATCATCAGCGGCACCAGCATCACCAGCAAAAGCATCGTCAGCACAAGCACAAGCATCAGCACCAGCAGCATCAGCATCAGCATCAGCATCCGCAGCAGCATCAGCATCATCAGCAGCGTCGTCATCATCAGCATCAGCATCAGCATCAGCAGCATCATCACCATCATCATCAGCACCATCATTAACATCATCACCAGCATCATCAGCAGCAGCATCAGTATAATCATCACCAGCAGCAGCATCAGCATCTTCATCAGGATCATCGCCGTCGTCACCGTCAGCATCATCAGTATCCTCGTCAGAATCAGTATCATCATCAGCAGCATCATCGCCATTATCATCAGAAGCATCGTCATCATCATCATCATCATCCTCATCCTCATCATCATCATCATCATCATCATCATCATCATCATCATCATCATCATCACCATCGTCAGCAGCATCTGCAGCGTCATCATCGGCATCATCAGCGTCAGCACCATCGTCGTTGCCATCGTCATCGTCATCGTCAGCATCGTCGTCATCATCATCATCGAATCATCAACATCATCATCAGCATCAGCAGCATCATCATCACCAGCCTCAGCATCATCGTCATCGCCATCGCCATCGTCGTCGTCAGCATCGTCGTCATCATCAGCAGCAGCATCCGAATCATCAGCATCATCAGCATGATCAGCATCAGCATCATCGGTGTCGTCGTCTCCGTCGTCGTCTCCGCCAGCATCATCATCATCATCATCATCATCATCATCATTATCATCATCATCCTCAACCTCGTCTTCGCCACCGTCATATCATAACCATCATCGTCACAACCATCATCATCATCAGCCTCAGCATCGTCATCATCGTTAGCATCATCATCATCACAACCATCCTCATTGTCATCAGCGTTGTCGCCAGCACCATCAGCATCGTCATCAGCATTATCATCATCATCAGCATCATCGTCATCATCAGTGTCATCATCATCGTCATCATCGTCGCCGTCTCCGTCGTCAGCATCACCATCATCATCGTCATCGCCATCGTCATCGTCACCGCCATCGTCGTCGTCGACCTAACCAGCATAATCCTCGTCAGTACACCTCGTCCACCTGTCCTTCAGGCCGAAGTATTCCCCCGCCTCGTCCTGGCCTGCCTTGCGTTGCATTGCACTCGCCCAGCACTTCCCTCCCCTGGCATCAACTCCTGCTCCGTACCCTTCCACCACCCACCCCCCACCCCACCCCCCACCACCCCTATCCCTCTTCCTATCCTCCATCATTGCCCTACACTCCCTTCTCTGCCCCCCTACCCTGCGTTGGTCTTGCCACCGACCATTCTACCCTCACCCTCGCAAACGCGACAACATTGCCACGCCTGACGGCATCGTCACCATCAGCAGCATCAGCATCAACAGCAGCAACAACGGCAGTAGCATCATCACAATCCGATCATCGTGATCATCAACATCAGCAGCATCATAGTAAAGATCAGAATCATCATCGTCGTCGCCCTCATCAACATCATCATCACCACCACAATCATCAACAGCAACAGTATCATCAGCATCACCATCTGTATTAGCATCAGCATCAGCATCGTCATCATCATCAACAACAGCATCAGCATCATCATCAAACCTACCGTCACCATCACCATCATCATAATCATCATCATCATCATCAGCAGCATCATCGTCGTCATTATCATCAGCATGCCTACCACAATCATCACCATTCTTACCAGCATCAGCACCAACATCAACAGCAGACTGCAGCAGCACCATCCTTTTCAGCCTTCCTCCTCCCCCTCCTCCTGCACCTTCTCCTCCTCCTCTTCCTCCTCCCTCGTCCCCTCGATGGCTTCCCTGATCTCCCGCGTCCATGCCCCGGCCACCGTGTCCTTCCCTGATCCGCAGGCGCTCTGCACGACGTCGATTATGATGTGGAACCTGAGGTTGGCTCCGTGAATTCAGGCTCAGAAGACCGGGAGGAGGGGAGGTCAAGAAGAAGAGGGAGGAGAACGAGGGGGAAAAGGACGAGAATGACCGCGACTACGATCGGTCGGCGGGCATGTGCTCGACAAGTGTCGGATACTGTCCGATCCTGCATGACATGTCTACGCATGGTGTTCCACTATTGGTTTTCTTAGTGGTGGCTGCAACTTCAAGGGCTCTCTGGTATCTACAATGCTTGTCTAGATGGCATGCGCTTAGACATGATTATATCAAAACCACTGTCTGTTGTAGGCAGGGAAAACACGACCATACTTGCACGTATGCACACACGATATGTGAACAAAAACGGATGCCTGCAAATGTGTAGGTACGGACGCTGTGGATTCTCCTACAAGAATGACATAGGGGTTGGCATTCAGGTACGAATGCAGATCTGAACAGTTAGACAATTGATGGAAGCGGCAAGGTGCAGTGCCCATGGCTGGGACGTCTTTCTGGCGAATGAGCATACGAGTACTCGCCATCGCTCGGACGTCCATCTCCCGCGCATGTTTCGGCTTCGTGCGTGTTTTTGTTGCTCGATGGTCCAGGATGGTCCTGGATGGTCCCCGCCGAGAAAAAATGCACACGTCCGAGCGATGACAGGAGTAGATACGGGCACACGCCCACACTGAGGAGAGCGCGCCCGTGGCGCTGCCCCCCCCCCCCACTTGGACCTCTCCCCTGCCGGAAGCCCTCCCCCCCTCCTGTGTTCCGCCCCTCGGAAGCTGCCCCCCGCCCTCGCGCTCTGGAAGCTACCCCCCCCTCCCTGTCCAAAGGGGGGGGGAGCTTAGCTACCCCCCCCTTTTGAACCTCCCCTGCCGGAAGCCCCCCCCCCTCCCCTTTTGGGCTGAAGGGGGAAGGGAGGCCTGGAAGGCCCCCCCCTTGGCGACGAAAGGAAGGAGCGCCGAAGACTTATATAAAGAGCGCCAGAAACCAGCAGAGTGCCGAAGACCAAAGAGCCACCGAAAACCGAAAGGTTGCGAAAACCAGAGGACGCCGAAAACCAAAGAAACGCCGAAAACCGAAAGGGCACCAAAAACCAAAACGGCGCCGAAAGCCAAAGGAGCACCGAAAAAGCAAAGGAGCACCGAAACCCAAGGAACCGCCGAAAACCAAAGGGGCACCGAAAACCAAAAGCGCGCCGACAAAGAAAAAAACCACGAAAACGAAAAAGAGAGCCGAAAAGCAAAACCACGCCGAAAACCAAAAGACACCGAACACCTGACGAAACCAAGCACCATCATCAGCATTATCATCACCACCACCACCATCATCATCATAAAAATAATCAGCGTCATCAGCAGCATTATCAATATCATCAACACCTCTCCGAAATCAGCATCACCACCAACAGCATCATCAGCATCAGCGGCATCATCATCGGCACCATCCTCGTCACCAAAATCCTAATCAGCAGCAACAGCAGCATCATCCGCATTATCATCAGCAGCAGCAGTATCATGATCATCAATATCATCAACATCATCATCAGTGTCAGCATCAAGATCAGCACCCTCGTCATCAGCATGATCAGCACCATCAGCACCATCATCATTATCATCAATATCATCATCATCAGCATCATCATCATCAGCATCAACACCATCAGCATCAGCAGCAGCATCACCTCAACCTCATCATCATCATCATCATCATCATCATCATCATCATCATCGTCATCATCATCATCATCATCATCATCATCGTCATCATCATCAAGATCATCAGCATCATCAGCAGCATCATCAGCATCGTCAGATTCATCATCATCAGCAGCACCATCATCAATAGCATCAGCATCATCATCAACATCGTCATACTCATCATAAGCATCATCACAATCCGCAGCAGCATCGTTATCAAAATCAGCATCATCGTCAACATCAGGATCAACATCACCATCATCATCGTTGCTGTCATCACCATCATCAGCAGCAGCCTTAGCATCATCATAATCATCATCAGCATCATCATCATCATCGTCATCAACATTATCAGCAGCATCGTCATCACAATTGAAATCATCATCCGCACCGTCATCATCAGCATCACCATCATCAGCATCGGACTCACCATCATAATCAGACTCGTCAGCATCATCAGCATCATCATCAGCAGCAGCAACATCATTAGCATCAACATCATCGTCGTCGTGGCCATCGTCGGAATCGTCCTCATCCTCATCACCACAATCATCATCATCATCAGCGTCAGCATCATCACCACCATTATCATCATCAGCAAAACCATCACCAGCGCCATCACCAGCACCATTATCATCAGCAGTAGGGGCGTAAACATCGTAATCATCATCATCCTCATCATCACCAGCAGCATCAGCATCAGCAGCATCATTAACATCATCACCACCATCAGCATCATCATCAACATGATCATCATCAGCATCAACACCATCAGCATCACCCTCCTGCTGCTTCGTCGTTCCGCTACTCCGTTTCCGCCGACTCCTTCTCCCCAGCTACCACTGCATCCGTTCACATCCGGCAGAACGCGATGATACCGATGCGCATCCAGAAGAACGATCCGAACTCGGGGATCTTCAGCTGTGAGTCCAGCCCTGCACCCAGGAACATGGCGTAGAGGGCGATGAGAGCACCGTCCACGCCTGAGGGCGGGATACGGGGCATCCTGCTCTCAGGGAAGAATAGATGTCCAGATTCCCTGCGCGCCATAGCTAGGTAGGGGGAAAGATAGGAGGTGGTCAGACTCCCTCTGCTCTGAGGGAGGAGGAACGTCCTTACCCGATGCCTGGCGCATGAAGAACAGATCCTCGCCCAGCTCCTCGTTACAACCACCTTGCCACCAGAGCCGTCGGGGGGCTGCGCGAGACGACGGTGCAGTCCTCCCTGAGACCCTATTGAGTCGGGTCGGCCAAAGCGGACCCTTCGGAAGAAAGGGGACCTCCTACTTTGGCTCGTGCTCGTGCACCCGCTCGTGAGTTTGATTATCCTAGTCATTACGTTTCCCTTCCTCACTCCTCTTCTCCCATCAGCCTCTTCCCTCCCCATCCTCCTCATCAGCCTCCTCCGTCCTCTTTTGCCCGCGCGGCGCACCGAAGCAGACGGAGCTCGCGCCCTGAACGAGGGCCCCAAAGCTCTTGATGGTGCCCACGAGGGCCCCGAAGGCGAGCACCATCGCGATGCACCCGATGGTGTGGTAGAACCTCAGCTATTGCCAATGGTCCGATGAAGAGAAAGAGCCGACATGTGAGGACGCCATCCACACACTTACACGACACCAACCTTGACCAAGTCCATCCTTGGCCCAGGATTGGTTTGGACATGGTCGGTGACAGCGTGTTGATGAACACGCGGAGAACAGCAAACGCCGACGCAGCTCACTGAGGCGAGCGCGGGGCTCCTGAGAGTAGGCGAGCCCTTGGGCCCAGCCGCGGTCTGGAATAGCGCGGATGCACTGGCTCAAACCTTCTGCGGGCGGGCACGATGCCTGGCACGCACGCCTACAAGACTGAGACAGCCGAGCCCTGTCCAGAAGCGGTCCAGGACCTGGTCAAGGAGTGGCGGCTGCACAACTGTCGGACAGCCTTGGGCCACGCTTGGCACGTGTCTGTGTCAGGGAGGCGTACGACTCGGGTACGGGGGACTCGGGTTGGCCTGACGGGGCCATCATAAAAATAACGAGGCCCAATCTGAAATTTGACGCGAGCTCCCGCTGGAAACATCCCACGAAGACTGGATCGCCAAAATCCAGGACGCGCTCGTCAGAAAACGTCAGCAGACCCGAGTTCCGGCTTACTCGAGTCTTACGTCTCCCCGACTGTGGACGAGTGGAAATCACAGCGCCACGAACAAAGAAAAGGGCCATACCCGAGCCCTTGGCCCCATCTACTGTGCGGTAGTCCCCGAGGGGGCCCCATAGATCCGAGGCGCCGAGGCGAGCACACCCGTCGTGATCGCTGGCCCACCTCTGGCCGAGACGCGTGCCCCGCAAAAGCCGGTGGGGCGCCAAGGCCGGGCCAGTCGAGAGGAGGGGCTACTCGTAAGTCGGGCCTGTCCCCCCAGAGGCCGATTTTGCACGAAAAATTGCAAATGCCCAATACCCTAAAAATGCTCAAAAATGGTCAAACAATAGTCCCCAGACCATTTTTTGACTAGTTTGGAATACCCCTCCTGTAGAGGGATAGGCCCGACTTAGGGCTACTCAACTCGGGTCGGGCGAAAGGGGGGGATAGCAAAGGGGAGGTTTGAGAATCAGCTCACGTAGCTGATTTTCCTGGCGCCTCCCGGCGCCGGAGGCGGCTACGTATCGAGGAATGGGCCCCTCGGTGAGGCCGAAACCAGCTGCATGCAGCAGATTTCGTAACCCCCCCTTTCCCAATCCCCCCCTTTCGCCCAGCCCGATCAACGGCGGTTAACGAACGAGCCCACGCAGCTGGCTCTCCCGGCGCCCCCCGGCGCCAACGCAGCGAGGAAAGGCGCCCGCCGGCGGGCCCGACACCAGCTGCGCGCAGCCGACTTCGCACCCCGCACCCCCCCTCCCCCCGATAATCCCGACCCCCCCTCTAGGGGGAAAACAAACCTACCTCGCTTTTGACCACCCTCGCTTCCAAGAGATACCAAACGATGCCACACTACGGCCTGTACTGGTCAGGCCGCTTGACGAGGAGGCACGTGGTATGACTTGGTTTTGCCTGGAAGCGAAAGCGGGGTAGGTAATTCACGCTCTGATCGTCCGTCTGGCCCGAGCCGCCCCGCGACGCCACTGGGCGCGGAGGGGCGGAGACCCTGTCGCGCCAGGGCCAGGAGGAGCGCTCTGAAGCGACGCCCTCCCCCCCTGGAGGAAGAAGAGCAGCTCTCTCTCTCTCTCTTTCTCTCTCTCTGTCTCTCTCTCTCTCTCTCTCTCTCTCTCTCTCTCCCCCCTGAAGCACCGCCACCCCCCTCCCCCCTGAAGCCCCCCCCCTAGAAGCGCCGCCTCCTCCCCCATCCCTGAAGCGCAGCCCCACCGAGAGCGAGCGAGCGATAAAGAGAGAGAGAGAGGGAAAGAGAGACAGAGATAGAGACAGAGAGAATTTTGAGGTAGCAAGATGGTAGGAAGGTTGAACGCCCAGCTGCAAGGGCAATCAGAGGCCGAGACCCGATGCCGACGTCTGGGTAGCAGATCGACGCCACTGGCCCATCGCGGGTACAGCGCAGCGGCACTCCGGGGCTCACCTCCATGTCGGGAACGCCCTCCAAGTCGAGGGCCTTAGCACGCTGCTTGCTCACACCCGCGCGAAAACTGCGACTTGAGGGCACAGCGATTTGAGGGAGGCCGAACATCCCAACCTCCCGAGCACGGAGGCCGAACGCACACAGACAGAGGACTTCAAAAGAGTGCTCGCTGAGGGCACTCACGTCGAGGAGGTGGAACAGGTTGACGCACAGGTGCTGAAGATCGCTGTGCAGCATGAAGTACGTAAAGAGGCGCCAGAACTCGCCTTGCGGGGGGGGGGGGGTCTGGAGGGAAGAGCAGCGAAGGGGGAGTAGCAAATCGCACACTGGCTGCTGCTCTCCTCCCCTGCCTGCAGGTGGTCTTGAGAGGACCCGCACGGTGTCGGACAGACCAGGCCGCTGGGCTCTCCAACACGGTGTTCTTGCAGACCGAGGCAGCGGAGCCGAGTGCGGCCGCTCGCGGCCAGGCACGCAACCCTCCTTCCTCGGACCGGGGGGGCCCAAACCCTCTCGCAACACTGCTGGTGGGCCCGTGATCCCGCAAGAACCTGACGAACATCGGGACAGTGGGTGGTCCCACAGACTCTTCTCGCGGGTCACTCTCCCTGTCGCCGTCCTCCCCGCCGGGACCCACCCGCCCCTCTGGCCTTTCTTCATGCACGGGGCGAAGAAGGAGAAGAACTTGTCCAGCCTGCGGGCTCGCGGCCGGAAGCGGGGGAGCCCGCTCGACCCGCCGTCGCTCGGCACGCCGACGCACTCGCTCGTCGGGCGATCGCGGCCTCGCGCGCGTCGAGGCGGAGCAGGCGGAGCAAACGGAACGGAGCTGACGCGCGCGGCTGAGACCTCGGAAACGCACACACACACACACACACATTCACACACACACACACACATTCACACACACACATTCACACACACATGTTTTTCGTCGGCGGCTGGGCAAAAGTCACTACGCTGGCGAGGATGCAAAACCGGGCTGCCGTTAAGCAACACACACGCACATACACACACGCACGCACGCACGCACGCACGCACGCACGCACGCACGCACGCACACACACACACACACACACACACACACACACACACACACACACACACACACGCGGCACGGCAGAACTGGATGCAAGCCGAAGTCAGCAGGCGGGGTGACGAGGGCTGCTCGACTGTGCTGGCTCGAGAAGCAAGCGCCTCGGGCCACAGCGCGGACAAAGTGCAACGCGGGTCGCAAATGACTGCCCACACCCGACGCTTCTCCTCGGGAGAGCGCTACGCAACTTACCACCAAAGTCTGGCGGTCGTCCGCGCCTCAGGATGGGCAGGAAGTTCTGGCAGATGGAGCCCACCACACAGAGTGCGATGAAGGTCGTCAGCGCGCGGCAGCCCTCGCACACCTGGTAGATGGAGTCCCAGAGGTCCATCCAGGGCCATAGCATGGGGAGCATCCAGAACATCGCCTCAGGCCGCGAGGAGAGGGCTCCCGAATACACTCCATTTCTACATATTTCCCCCTCTCTCTCTCTCGAAGGGAGAAGGGGGCCAGTGAGGAGGCAAGAGGGAGGACAGAAGAAGGAAGAGCAGGGAAGGAACGAACGAAGAAGACCGCGGAGAAACGATGACGATGGACAGGGAGGAAGCGAGGGAAGGAGGGAGGGAGAGTGGGAGCAGACGCAGTACAGACGATCCAGTAGATCACGCTCTAGTACAGTAGGGGCCCGACCACAAGAAACCTTCCACAAGAAACCCAACCCTGAGACCCCAGGACGTCCATCGATGCTTGGTGTGGGAACGTCACGCTTCCGATCGCAAAACCATCAAAACCGAAGAAGAACCTCCCGGGGCACTCTGGAGGCAAGCAGGGTGCTTCTTGGCAGGGGCCCCCGCTGTGAGGAAGCAGTGGGGGAAGAAAGGGGGGGGAGGGCTCCGACGGTGTCAGTGCTCACGCCCTCTCGTCGGCCCCGCATCCAGGATCCGCCCCTTTCGCCACGGACCGCCCTCGGGCGGACACCCGGAGCACGGGGCGGACCTCCGGGGGGGGAGGGCTCCGACGGTGCGAGGGCCTCCGCCCCCCCCGAGCCCCGTCGCCAGGACCCGCCTCCTTCGCCACGGGCCGCCCGCCTCGGATGGACCCCCCCCGGGCCCCCCTCTGGCGGACCTCCGCGGGACCCGCAACTGGGGGAAGAAGCGCTGCCGTGCGAGGCGGGGAGCTGTCCACGGCCACCGCCCAGGAGCTGTGGATCTCGCTGGCTCCCCCCCCCCAAGAGTTAAGTCGGGCGTGTCCCCCTACAGGGGGATTTTCTGCGAAATATATATGTATGTATATATATATATATATATACATTATCCAAAATGGTCAAAAAATACTCTTTTCTTTTTCTATTTTTAAATAAAAGCAAAAAAGTAGTCCCCAGGCTATTTTTTTACTATTTTTGAATATTCCCCCAGTAGAAGGACAGGCTCGACTTAACCCCTGGGGCCCAAGGGCATCCACGCCCGCGGTCCCACTCGCCTTGCGAGGGCATCCACGCCCGCGGTCCACTCGCCTTGCGAGGGCATCCACGCCCGCGGTCCCACGCGGCCCTTAAGGGACCCCCAAGGAGGTCCAGAGGAGCAGAATCGGCAGAGGCCTCCCCAGAGATCCAACGTATTGAAAAAAAACACGACGGAGGGTTTTCGCAAATTTCCGCCTTCAGGGGCCCTCGCCGGGCCTCGGGAGCGTCAAAAAACGACTCAGGATGAAAAACCAGTCCTGGGGATTGGATCGGGACTTCCGGGGACCCCGTATTGAAGAAATCACGACATCGGATCTCTGGGTCCGTCCTCCTCCCCTCAGGTCCCACGTCGCGGAAGCAACAAAAAAGTAGAGGTCACGACCAGAGCCCCAGACCCCATCTCCCCAAGGCATCTCTGAGGCCCAGTCGACTCACGACGCCCCTGGGGCCAGAAGCTTGGCGAAGACGCTGGGTGAACGCCCAGATCTCTGGGTCCTCCCTCCTCTTGCCTGCGCTGTGATCGATTCGTCGCTGAGTTACAAGAAACAATGCTCCTCCTCAGGCCTTCCTCCTCCTGCTCCTCCTCCCCAAGCCTTCCTCTTCCTCCAACTCATCACCACCGCCGCCCCCACCGTCATCTCCATCAACGCCACCACCACCAGCGTCATCACCATCATCACCACCACCAGCACCACCACCAGCACCACCACCACCACCACCATCATCATCATCATCATCATCGTCATCATCATCATCATCATCATCATCATCAGCATCAGCATCAGCATCAGCATCAGCAGCAGCATCAGCATCATCAGTAGCAGCATCAGCATCAGCATCAGCATCATCATCATCATCACCACCATTTGTCACCATCGCCGTCGTCGTGATCATCATCCTAATCATCATCTGCATCAGCAGCAGCATCACCATCCTCATCATCAGCATCAGCATCATCATAATCACCATCATCATCAGCAGCAGCAAATTCAGCGTCAGCAGCAGCAGCCGCATCAACAGAATCCTCATCATCCAAATAATCCTCATCATCCTCATCAGCATCATCAGCATCATCAGCAGCAGCATCAGCATCATCATCATCATCATCATCATCATCATCATCATCATCATCATCAGCATCAGCATCATCATCATCATCATCATCATCATCATCAGCATCATCATCATCATCATCATCATCATGATCATGATCATGATCATGATCATGATCAGCAGCATCATCATCTTGGTCGTCGTCGTCGTCACCGTCGTCGTCGCCGTCGTCGTCGTCGCCATCATGATCATCAGCAGCAGCGACATCATCGGAATCATCAGCATCATCATCATCATCATCATCATCATAATCGTCATCATCAACAACAGTATCGTCGTCACTAGCATCATCATCAGCATCAGCAGCATCACCATCGTCTTCATCCGAATCCGCATCATCATCATCATCATCATCAGCATCATCATCATCATCATCATCACCATCATCATCATCATCATCATCATTACCATCAGCATCAGCATCACCATAATCCTCAGCATCAGAATCATCAGCAACAGCAGCATCGTCATCACAATAACAATAAGGATACAATGATTATAATATTGATAGTCATAACAATAATAATAATACGAATGATAATAATACCAGCATCATCAGCATCAGCATCGCCATCATCAGCAACAACAACACTACCACCATCACCACCATCATCAGCAGCAGCATTATTAATCATCGTCACAATCATCATCAACATAATCATCATCAGCATCGTCATCAGTAGCAGCAGAAGCAGCATCAGTAGCATCATCGTCATCATCATCGCCATCGTCATCATCATCATCATCAGCATCATCAGCATCATCAGCAGCAGCTTAAGCATCACAGTCAGCATCCATATCATCAAAATCATCATCAGCAGCCTCATCATCATCACCATCACCACTACCGCCATCATCGTCATCACCATCAGCACTACCACCATCATCATCATCGTCGTCATCATCTTCAGACTTGTCATCCTCATCATCACCACCACCACCATCATCATCATAATCATCATCGTCATCGTGATCATCAACGCCATCAGCATCATCACCAGCATCATCATCATCATCATCATCATCATCATCATCATCATCATCATCATCATCATCATCATCATCATCATCATCATCATCATCATCATCATTATCATCATCATCATCGTCGTCGCCATTATCATCCCCCCTCATTCCTCCTCCGTCTGGTGCCGCATCCGAGGCTGGCCGTGGGTTGCCCGCCGGCCGCGGGGCGGCCTTCTGGCCGCTGTCCATACCGAACCTGCCGCGCGCTTTGGCGGGCCCGCCGCCGCCGCCCTCTCGAGCGCGAGGCCAGACACCCGCGAGGAGCAGCGCGAGTGCGACGACCACCAGGAAAAAGCACGCTCGGGGTGCGATGACCGCCCCGCATGCGAGGATCGGCTCCCTTTTCGCGATGGCCGGCTCGAGAGCGACAACCGGCCCAAGCTGCTTGAAGGGGCCCCAGGACACACAACTAAATACACACAAATACACAAATACTCCCCTATAGTTTCCCCTATTTTCTGGGTTCCTGTCTCCCCCCCCACTTCCCATATTTTCCCATGTTTTCTGGGGGATCGAGGATTAGTTGTGTCTGTGTGTCTCTTCCCCTCCGGACTGCTCGCCGCGCCTGGGCCGAGCACCGCCCTTCGCCGGGTCGCCGCCCCGCGCCCCTCGGGCGCCCGCCCGCCCGCCCCCTCGGCCCGACGAGGCCCTCCAGAGGCGGGCCCGGCGCCCCCGAGGCGCGCCCCCCGGTCTGCCTGCCCCGCCAGGGGGCCACGTGCGAGCCCCGCCCCGGCCCCCCACGATGTCTGAGGGGGAGGGGGGGGGCCCACTTCGCTCGGGGGCTCCCACAGCAGAGGGAAGCCCACCCTCCCCCTCATTGCCAGCCTGGAACGTATCCCTGTCCCTATGCTGGGCATCTCCTCATCACGATGCCGATCTTAGGGATCTCTGCCCTGACGAACCCTGCCCCTGCCCCCCACGACTTCTGAGGGGGAGTTGGCGGCGCGCAGAGGGGGGGTAGGGGGAGGGGGGAAGGCTTCTTAGAAGGAGGCTGCTTCCTAGAAGGCGCCGGCCTTACATCTACAGAGCAGGCTCGCACCTTCTAAGAAGCAGGGGTGCTTCTAAGAAGCCTTCCCCCTCCCCGTACCCCCCTCTGCGCGCCGCCAAGGGAGGGTGGGGTTCACTTCGTTCGGGAGCTCCCGAAGCAGAGGGAACCCCTCCCCCCCAGAAACCGTGGGGGGCAGGGGCGGGGTTCGCCTGTGGTGGCCCCCTGCCCGCTTCCTGGGGCGGGCCGCAGAGGGGGGGGGGGGCTCGTCACGGGAGGGGCCGGTCGGCACGGGGGGCGGTCCGGCCGCCCCGGAAACTCGCCGCGCCTCGCCTCCGAGTGGCAGCAGGCGCGGGCTGGGGGGGGGAGGGCCTTCTCACCAGGGGGAGGCCAGAACTCGCACACACATTCTGCCTTCTCACCAGGAGGCCAGGACTCGCACACTCGGGCCGAAGATACCGCAGAAGTGGGGAAAAACGTTATCATTCGGGGGGGGGGGGGCATCGACCTGGAATCGGCGACGACTCGCCGATAGATCGATGATCGACGATATGCCCCTGGCAGCAGATCCGCACGTTCCTGGGCGGGGGGGGGACCTATCTCCTGCCCCTGCCGGCGATACATCGGCAATCGGGATCGATGCACACACCCCTGAGCCAATCCCTCGGCGCTGGACAAACCTCCCGTTAGTAGACCTCCCCTTAGTGAAAACGGCCTGGGACCGAAACCGATGGACCTGGACCCGCAAAAATGACGGCCGCGACGCCCTCCCGCGAACCGAAAACAGCCAATTCACGAATTGACGTGTCAGGGTAGGAGGCCTGTCCAGCCCCGAGTCCCCCTCTAACGACTCTTCTGAGCTGCCTCCTGGCACTCCGGGATCAAGCTGCAGGAGGAAAGGGGGTCCTGGCCAGGCCTCGCCGTTCTGGCACGCCCCCCCCCCCCCCCTCCCCTGAGGCCCTCCGCGGGCCTGCAGGCCCGCCAACGAGGGGCACGCCTCCGGACGAGGAGCTGGCCTGCTTCCCTCCGGGCCCCTCTATCGGGGATGGACAGACCCCCCTTTAGTAAGACGTGGCTTAGTTGGTGAAAACGACCCGAGGCCCAGACCTGGCGGGCGCAGGCCTGGGAAACAACGGCCACGGCGCCCCCTCGAGAGCCGAAAACGGACCATTCACTGGTCGACGTGTCGCTGTTGGGGGCTCTGTCCACCCCCGACTCGACTCCGTGGCGAGCTGCGCGCCTCCGGCCCGAGGTCGGCCCCGGGGACGGGGCCGAGAGCTGCGGGAGCCCGCGTCCTTGTCCCTCCCACTCGTTCGCACCGAGGCGGGCGGCTGGCTCCCGCACGCGTATCGAGAGGAGGGGTAGACTCGCATGCAGGGGCGTCGGCGTCCCCGCTCCCGCTGCCATCCCGACGCACAGCCTTCTCTCGGGACCAGCCCCCGACTCCCGAGTCGTTGTTGGATGGTCCTGGAGCCCGTTGAGGACCCCGACAGCCCAAACACGGCGAACAAGCACCCGTTTCCCTCAGGACGCCTTCCTTCACGGCGGTTTCCCTCCCCCAATCGCATCCCGCTTCCCACCGGGAGTCCGCTGCCGCCCTCATCCCCCTCTCTCTACACAGCCGCTCCCCTCCGCCTGCAATTCGGACTGTTTGAGTGTTTCCACATGTTTTGGATTCAGCTGGATTTGGCTCGTAGCACTGCCATCAGCTCTAGCATTCAGATCTGCTTTACGCGTGGCGCTAGCTCGAGTTTCGAGAGCTTGAACGGCTGAAACAACGGGTGAACGGACTGATGAATGAGTGCGTCAATGATTTGTTCGGTGACCAGCACAAACGAGAAAAGGAGGAGGTGGGGATCGGAACAGCGGAGAAGACGAATCCCACAAGCCCGCTGGGCGTAGGTGGTCTAACGAGGTCTTTCTTACATCTCCCGAAAATCCCTTCTTCCCCTTCTGGGAGGGGTTTACCCCTCCCCCTACCCCCTCCCCTGGACGTTCTGGAGGGGTGTCGCGGGTGATTGGAGGGTCCTTTTCCGGCCCCTGGGAGGGCCAATTTGTGACACCCCGAGGATCGTGGCCCCCGAGGGGGGGACCTCGATCGGGACCCTCCCTCCTTTGATCGATAGCCTCGAAGATGGCCCCAAGAGCCGCTCCAGGGCTCCCAAGAGAGCCCCAAGAGAGCCCCAAGAGGGCTCCAAGTGGGTCCCAAGAGGGCCCCAAGAGGCACCCGAGAGGCCCCCAAGAGGCCCCCGAGCGGCCTCAGAGAGCCCAAGATGACCGCCAAGATGGCTCAGATAGCCTAAGCTGGCTCAAGATGGCTCCCAAGATGCTCCAACCGGCCCCAAGACCGCTCCAAGAGCGCTAAGGAGCGCTCCAAGAGAACCCCAAGAAGCGATTTGCGGGCTCCTGAGGGGGGAGCTGAGTTGGGGACCCCCCATCCTGTAATCGATGCCCTCCAAGATGATACCAAGAAGCCTTCCAGGGTTACCAAGAGGGTTCCAAGAGGGCCCCAAAAACCAGCAGCAGCAGCAGCAGCAAGAATACCTGTAGATGGTTCCATGAGTCCTCGTCCGCGTCGTCCTCATCCTAGTCCTCGTCCTCCTCGTCCTCTTCCTCATCCGCGTCCTGGTCCTCCTATTCCTCCTCGTCCTCATCCTCCTCATCCTCCACCTCCTCCTCCTCCTCTTCCCCTCGCCCCCACGCGGCCCCCGGGGATGGCCCGAAGGAGGCTTCCAAGGCCACCCCCTTGGTCCCAGAGATCTCTCGGTTCACCCTGGTTGCTCGCTTTGTTTCCCTAGATGTTTGTCCCTTTTCCCGTCAGCTCTCATGGGCAGGGCTTCTGAATGGGCTGGTGGAATACGCGAAGCGTGAAGAGTTAAAATACAAACAAAATCGGGAAAGTACGGATGACACGGAGATCTATGTGTGAGGGCCGGCGGATCCCGAGGATGTATCGGGCGCCGCGGTCGTTCAAGTGTTATCCTGAAAATCCTAAGAGGGCCCTGCGGATGCCTGAGATGGAGGGGAGGGGGAAGGCTGGGGACGAGGATAGAGAAAAGAAGACGGACGATGAAGCAGGAGGGACCACAGGGCGCCCATCCTTCGCATACTCGTGACGCGGATGGACGAGGAAGGACGAGGGCGAGACCGACTACGACGAAAGCAACCACGACTACGACAACGACGACGACGACGACGACCACGACGACGATGACGACGGCGACGACAACAATGACGGCGACGACGACGACGACGACGACGACGACGACGACGACGACGGGAACGACGACGACGACGACCACGACCACGGCGGCAGCCCGGCTCCCGCGGAGAACCCGCCGCTGCCCTCGCCCGCCGGGGCGCAGGTCCAGCACTTCTCCCCGTCCTTCGTCCTCGTGACCCTCTTCGTGTCGGTCTTCTCCTCGCGGGGCGGGCGAGATCCGCATCGCCGCTTTGCGACCTTTGCGAACAGGCTCCACGTCGCTCGGGCGACGAAGCCTATGCCCTCGCCTGCATTGTGCAGACGAGGACGGCACGCGGACAGCGTGCCTGCGCCCGAAGCGCCACGGGGGGACCCCCTCAACCGAAGGCCTCCGGAGGCCGAGGCCGCCAGCGGCCAGGAACGACAGGAGGCCACGAGACCGCATCGCCGCTGGGGCTCCTCCTGCTCCCACGCCGGTCCTTCTGCGGGCGCATCGGGGCAAACCATTGGTTTTAAGCTGCTTTCGGGGAGCTCGATCTTGGAATCCAGGCGAACCTTCGAGTCTCTGGCAGAGTCTGGCACGCGCGCGCGCGACGACGCGCGCTTCTCGATTGTTCTTGGGAGCGTATGACGTTTGATCAGAGCGTGTGCGCGCATATTGTTGTCTGACCGGGATGTTGGGGGAATTCGATAAGGGGTCAAGCCCTCCTCCCCAGGGGGGAAGGAGTCCCAGGGGGGGGGGGGGGAGGTCAGATGCGCATCCGTCCCTGGGGGTCCTCTTCCCCCTCCCCTCTCCCACGCCGGTCCTCCTCCGGTCTTCCTCCCCAGGGGAGGGGCCCAGGGCACGGAGGAGAGACAGGGATCGCCGCCACCGAAAGCCCATCGAGGGGGGCCGACCCCTTGGCGGTGGCACGCCTGCGCGCCGTCCAGCACTGGGTGAGGGAGGGATGCGCGGACGGAGGATGGAGGAGAGAGGGGGACCGAGTGAAACGAACGGTACAGCGGCAGGCGGATGATCACGCCGAGCTGCACAGGGGCGGGCCGTGATGCGTCGACGGATCAGGCCGTCCGGGAGCTTGCCAGGAGGTGTGCGAGATGGGGCGTTGGGATGGAGCCCAACGGGTGCTCCTGGGGCAGGGAGGGTGGAGCAACTCTCAGGGCCTCTCTCCCCAAAGCTCGGGTGACCGACTCGTAGCTGGGCGGCGGCGTCGGATTAAGCCCCGTGGTGCCACCAAGTTGCGCGCCCTGTTCCTCCCCGAGCTCTCTCTGGACAAATGGCCCCAAAGTGCCCCCACTTATTTGGCAACGGCGGCGCCAGCTCAGGGTCGCCGAAGTGCGGTCGACACCCGACGCGCTGCGTGAGGGATCGAATGTGCTGGTGTGTACTCGTGTGTGGACAACGCGTTTGCACGCCGGCCAATTCGCCTTTCGTTTGCCCCGAATAGCCACACGCTGGAGCGGACCACCTCTGCCTCGACGCCGACGGAAAAAGTACAGTCATCGGCCTGACCTAAGGAACGATAAAGAAGGAAGGATGCCCTGTTTCCCAAGGACTAACGCATACGGAACGATTGATAATACATAACGCATCAGGAACAGTAAACAACGCAGGCAAAAACAAGGAACCACCGAGCCCCTTTTGAAAGGTAAGCGTTCCTTGTTCAAGCCGCTCACTGTATGGGCTACGCCTGGGTTGTCGTGCCGTGCAGTGTTCCTTATTCAAGCCGTGCAGTCGTTGTTTTCGCAGGCCTAGAGGTTGACACCAACACCAAGATCGGTGGTGTGCCTCCACCGAGGGAAGAGGATCCCGATCTCGGGGATGGTGGCAATATTCTGGCTTCCACAGTGACCTAAATATGACCACCAGCACCGAAATCTAGGATCCGAATTCCCATGTGGAGGCAACCCCCTGTGCTGGTGTTGGTGCCAATTTCCAGGCCTCCGATGTCTGGAGGGTGCCCAGGTGCAGCCCCCCCCCACCCGGAGGGGCACGAGGCGGCAGCGGGGCGGGCGGCGACGGGGGGCGACCCGCCGTGGCCTCCGCGACAAACGCCTGGCAGATCGGCATATCTCAAGCAGGCCCACCGGCGGGGGGACGTGGTGGCTCGGCCGGCGACCTGCAGCGTCGGCCTCGCCCCGCGCCAAGGGGTGTGTCCCTGACCTTCCAAGAAGGCTAAAAAATAGCACCCGACCTGAAAACCTACCCGAAGGCTATTCTACGTCTTGGTGTTGAGCTGTTTCGCTTAGTGTTTTTTGGGATGTTAGGCCTCCAGTGCTAAAAAATAGCTCTCTGGAAGGTCAGGGGTGGGGGGGTGGTATTGGCGAGAGTACGGCGGGTGACGACCCCGCGGCGCTCCACCGTGGACGCCCGCGGCGAGGGCCTTCGCCGAGACGGCGCGACACGAACATACACCCTGCGAAATGCTTAACAAATCATGGGTTAAGAAATTCATAGTCTCGGAACTTGAATAAAAACCCAAAATGTCCATCAAAATCGTAAGATTTACATTGAAACGCTAAGAATCATCGAGATTCTGGCCGAAAACTTAAGTCTTCTTAAGCATCGCCTAAGGTGTACCGTGCGGTCTCTCCTTCAGGAGGCAACTACTTGGAGGTTTTCGTCGGAAGGATCAAAGAGGATTGAGCCCCATCGGGGGGCTGTTACGCTGGAGCGGGCCTCGGATAAGAAACGGGATCGAGCGGGACTGAGCCAGAGTAAGGGGGAGCAAACCGGATGAAGCCGGATTTCGGGCCAGGGCAAGATCAGAACTTGACCTCCCAGGAGCTGCAGCCGAATCTCCTGACTCGTGTCGGTCTCGAGATCGAGTCCGCAGAGGGACCCCCAGCGCGCCAAGCGCCCACAGCAAACCTTTTCAAACCCGAGCGCGCCACCGCGAAGTCTCCGACGACGAGGGGCCGTGAGAGCTACCCTCTCCGTGTTTTGGTGCCCGAGTTGAGCTGAGCTGTCGATGGCTGGAAGCCCGAAGTGGAAGAAGGCAGACCCAGTGGGGGTCGAGGTCCCACCGAGGGACCGCCCCCGCGGGTCCTGGGCCCCCCCCAAGGAGCCAGGCCCACCGAGGGCACGCGCGGGTTTGGGTGTCTGGTGTTCGTTCCACGCTGTGCCTGTTGCGTTGCGTGGCAGCGACGCTCGGGTCACGGTCCGGGGCTTTGCTTGGCGTGCCGCCGCGGCGGCGGCCGCGGCGGCACGCACTGCCCTGCACTCGGATGGCATGTCGCTCCGCTCCGCGGGGGGGAGGCTGGGGAAGAGTGCGGGACACTGACGCCTGGGGACTGGGGCTTGGGTAGCGCGTAGCGCCAGGGCGTGATGGGCCACAACTGGCAGCGCGACACCGCTCCGCGGGGGGGGGAGGGTGGGAAGTTCGGGACACTCACGCCTGGGGACTGGGGCGGGGGTAGCGCGCAGCGCCACAGCGTGATGGGCCAGAACTGGCGCCGCGACACGCCAAGCAACAGGAAGGAGGAGGGAGGAGGAAGGTGATCCTCGAGAATCCCCGAGGCAAAACAGAAAGTCAGCAGCCATCCCACGTCTGTAGGACGAGTTTCCTCCGCTCGTGCCCTGATGAGCCCTGCCAGCGCAGGCATCCCCGCTGTCGAAACGAAGCGCGGTCTGGCAGCGGAGGAGGAGGCTTCGGGCCGTGCCGCCTCTCGCGGCACCACAGCAGCACAGGGGCGACAAATGGCCCGACTGCCTCCTCACTCATATGAGGGTGCAGCCTATCACGAATCCCACCAGCCCTCTGGGCGTAGGTTGTCTAGAGAGGCTCCTCTTCAAACCCCAGTCTTCCCCTTCGGGAAGGGGTTTATCACCGTTTCCCATTCGGATACGCCCCCTCACCAGCGAAGCGTCAAGGATGCCCTTCATGTGACCGTTATCTTGTTTTTCCCGGGTCACGGCCGTAAACGGGAGGGGAGGGGGGGGGATGGCGGGAGGGTACCGGTAACGGCGGCCGCGGCGTGCGCCCGCCAGGGTGCGTCCGCGCCACCACCGCATCAATCGCCTGGGTGCATGACAATGCCCAGTGCCTGCATGCAACACAGCGCCACCTGTGTACATATCACAGAGCCTCCGTACACCACAACAGCCGCGTGCACTGCAGTACCACGTCGCCCATGCACACCGTAGCGCATGTGTATAATGCAGCAACCGTTGTGTACAATAGGATTATACAAACAACCACTGTTTATGATAGGAAGCCCTATGGAAAATGGGCCGCCTCAGGATTCCACTGAACTCATGTGTATATAGACTGTGAAAAGGAAACGCGATGGAAAGTGGAGCACCTCTGCATTCCTCGGAAAAAACATTTCGTCTGATAAAAGAATCCCTCTGTAAATTGGACCGCCTCTGGATTCCACTGAAAACGAAGGTTTTAAATACCCGTGTTGAAAGAGTCCCTCTGGAAATTTGAGGCCTGAAGATTCTACGCGTGCGCACCACAACGCCTGCGTACACCACAACGCCTGTGTACACCACAGCAGCCGCGTGCAACACAGCGTCGGTGTACACCAGTACATGCGTGCACCTCAGCGCTTGCGTACACCACAGCGCCTGTGTACACCGCAGCAGTGTGCAACGCAGCGCCGGTGTGCACCACGCTGAGCGCCCGCGCGCACCACACCACAGCGCCCGCGGGAGAAGGCGCGGGGCCGCCCAGTCTGCATCTTCTCCATGACGCTGGGTCTACAATCAATACGTGAATCAAGGACGGGTGGTAAGGATGCAAGACCCTTGGAAGCCGAAGTTGGGATTTTTGCAAAAGATGGGCCAACGACAGCGGCACAGGACAGGCCGCAGAGACAAGGACACAAGGGTACCCTGGAGAAGACGCGCGTCCATACTAGGCGCGTTGGCTGTATCGCACTGCAACCGAGCACCGGTCAGAAGGAAAGAGAGCCACCGCATTTTGCTCTTGCGGAAGTGTGGTCGAACCAGCCCAGCCTGTGGTGGCTGAGCCATCGCCAGCTGCACTGGACGACGACGACGACGAAAACGACGGCGATGACGACGACGACGACGACGACGACGACGACGACGACGACGACGACGACGACGACTGCAAGCGCCACAACAAGTTTGTGAGCACCAATGCGTGCCGTTCCGACCACGCCATGCCTGTGAGCACAGCACCATGCCTGCGGGGGGTCCGCTACCAGCATTGTGTGGGGGGGGGGCAAGCCCCCCCTCCCTCACGGCACGATCGTTAACGTTACCCGGGAGGGGGGAGAGGGTTGGCCCGTGTAACGAGCGTTACGCCAGAGAGGAAACAAAAACGCTCACCAACGCAGAATTGCTGCTAGCCCCTGGCTGGCGAAAGCAAACCTGGCCTAGCCAGAAGCATATCTTACTTTTCTGGTACCCGCAAGAGAAAACATGAAAAATGGCTCGTTCAGAATTTCCTGTACGACCGTGGCGAAAAACAAATGTGACCGCGCAAACCCTCAGCACACTCCAACCGTGTGAGGGCTGCCGAAAGACACTTGGTAGGAGGAGCGACGACGGAAGACGAAAAAGAGAGGGCGTGAGGGAAGGAGGGACTAAAGGAGGGAGGAGGGATGAACGAAGCAAGGGAGGGGTGAAAGTGGGATGGGTGGAGAACATGGTTTGGGAAGCTTCGAATTATGATTGAAGCCCTGGGGGTTCTAGGGGCTCCTCATCCCACAGGGGGAATGAGATTTGGAGACTGAGGGCCCTCCTCACTCCTATCCCCCTCTTCCAACACAACCACCACCACCACCATCCCATCGTCATCACCATCATCTTCAGCATCACCAGAACACGCATCAACTCCATGCATCGTCTTCGTCGTACCTCGCCTCCTCATCGCCACCATCACCATCAGCATCACCACAACCACCACCATCATCCGCATCATCAGCATCATCGTCAGCATCAGCATGATCATCAGCAGCATCATCAGCAGCAGCATCGTCGTCATCATCAGCATCATCATCAGCAGCAGCATCAGTATCATCATCTGCAGCATCATCATCGTCGCCCTCATCGTCATCGTCGGCATCATCATCATCAACATCATCAGCAGCATCATCATCATCATCGACATCGGCATCGGCATCCTCATCATAAGCATCAACAGCATCAGCATGATCAGCATCATCATCACCAACATCAACATCATCAGTATCATCAGCATCATCATCAGCATCATCATCATCATCATCATCATCATCATCATCAGCACCATCATCAACATCAGCATCAGCATCAGCATCAGCATCAGCATTAGCATCATCATCATCAGCATCATCATCAGCATCAGCATCAGCATCAGCATCATCATCATCATCAGCAGCAGCATCATCAGCATCACCATCAGCATCAGCATCATCATCATCATCATCATCATCATCATCATCATCATCATCATCATCGTCGTCGTCGTCGTCGTCGTCGTCGTCGTCGTCGTCGTCGTCGTCGTCGTCGTCGTCGTCGTCGTCATCGTCGTCGTCGTCGTCGTCGTCGTCGTCGTCGTCGTCGTCGTCGTCGTCGTCGTCGTCATCGTCACCACCACCACCACCATCATCTCCGACGTCACCCTCATCCACATCCCTCCGGCTTCTCCCCGTCTCCCTTCCCGCCCAAGCTTCGCTCTGTTTCGCCCTCCGTCCTGCCCAGTCCTCCCCCTCTCCTCCCTTGCCCTCCCTCTTCTTGTCCTCCTCCTGCTTCTGCTCCTCCTCCTCCTCCTCCTCCTCCTCCTCCTGCTCCTCCTCCTCTTCGGGACCTCCGCCCCCTCCCCTCCGCCTGCTCCGATACGCCACTGCACCAATGCATGTTCGATCCGAGCAGGCTCACCATCGAACAAGAGAGGGCCCCTCGAATTCCATCGTCAGGCTCTACCCGTGCCTCTCCCTCCCGCCTGTCCCTCCTCCCCCTCCCTCCCCCCCCCCCCTTCCCCCTCGCGCACCCCCGCCCTCGACGCGCGCGAGCGGTCCTCGCACTTGCACGAACGCTTCAAGGAGCACCGCCCGACCTGCGAGGGACCTCGGCGCCCGACACCCTCCGCCACTGCTTGGCGCGAGGGCAGCCGTCGGCACGCTCCCGGCAGGAGGAGGAGGAGGAGCCCATCCCCTGTGGGTCACCCAGCTTCGCACGGCGGCGATCGAGCCGAACATCGGGCTCGCCCCATGGAGCTCGACACGGGAAGGAAGCCAGCGACCACGGGGAGGAAATCATCCGCGTGGTCGCAGGGTCACCGGCCAAAGCCCCTAGGTCACCGAACCTACGCGCAGCGCGTCCCGCGATGCGCGGCGCGCGAATCCGCGCCCTCGCGCTCTCGCGCCCTCGCGCCGACCCCAGGAGAATGGCGGCCGCTCTAACCCAGACCGGGAGGCGCGGAGCGCGATTGCCATCGCACCCCCGCGGGTGGCCCGGGGCCCCCAGCGTCAACGATCGAAGATCGAAGATCGTGGGCGAAGATCAAGGATGCCGATCTGTTTCCCACTGTAGGGAGCCCACAAAGGACGTACGCGCCCAGCTATGTACATGAACACGGCCCCTCGATCCGCGAGACCGGCCGCATTATACGAACATTTGCGCAATGCGTACTCTCGAAACCAGCGTGGATTCATGTACATGTACGTCCTTCTTTCGCTCCTGACACTGCTGGTCCTGTGTTGAGGGCCTTCTGGGGCGCCCCCCGTGACCACGGCCGGATCCGCCTCGAGATCCTGGCCAGGGCGCCCACACACGGAGAGGTCCAGGTGCTGATCGTGGGGGGAGGGGGGGCGAGGCCTAGAAGTTCAGCGTCGTGGAAAGCTCGACGGTAGCTTTGTCCAAGTTCGGGACTGCGGAGGCCCGTTGCAAGCCACGAGATCATCAAAGAACTGCCCGCGGCGGAAAACCAGTCCCGGGAATGAAGTCAGGAGTGCCACGGGCGACGCATTCTGGGTGTTAGCCAATGCTGGCAGGGTCTTGACGGGATCATTGCAAAGCCGTACCCAGCTGGGGGGGGTCTTGGCAAGCTTCTGGTGCAGGAGGCCTTGGAAAGGGCCGTGGCTGGAAGGACTAGCTGGGGCCAGAGCGAGTCCGAAACACATCGGATCTGGATACCAAGGTTCGGCAAACCTGCCAGGGGCTCGATAAACGGAAGGGCCAACCCCAACCGCTGCTGCCAGCCTCCATTAGAGGCCTCCCAAATTGGGCCCGAATTGATGGGGTCGGAGAATCGCGCCGCATCGCGATGCATCACCGATGCATCGGCGATGCATCTGCGACGTCGACGTTGCATCGGTGCCATCAGCGTGCAAACGACAGGGCTCCACAGCGAACCGCATCGCCGATGCATCGGCGATATGGCGCGATCCTCCGCCCCCATCTATTTCGACCTTACCTGGGAGGCCTAGATCCATGCACGGACCCGGCGGGGTCCTGGTACGATCATGGCCAGGGCTCTCGATCTGGGTCATGGCAGGGTCCACTGGGCAGCACGCTTCCTGCTTGAGAGTTGAGCGGACGGCCACGGGGCGAGCCTGATCCCCCTGTGCTCAGATGCCCAGTCCAGGATTTACGGGGCAGCTCCTCCTCCTCCTCCTCCTCCGCCTCCTTCGTCGCATCCTCCTCAACCGCCTCCTCCATCAGAATCCGTCATCATCATCATCATCATCATCATCATCATCATCATCATCATCATCATCATCATCAGCAGCAGCAGCATCATCATCAGCAGCAGCAGCATCAGCATCAGTATCAGCATCAGCATCACCACCACCATCACCATCCTTATCATAATCACCATGACAATCAGCATCATCGTCATCATCATCGGCATCATCGTCGTCATCTGCATCATCAGCATCATCATAATCGTCATCAGCAGCAGCATCAGCATCATCTGCATCATCAGCACCACCACCATCACTATCACCATCACCATCACCATCACCATCATCACCGTCAGCATCAGCACCATCATCATCATCATCATCATCATCATCATCATCATAATCATCATCATCATCATCATCATCATCATAACCAGCATGACCATCAACATCTTCATCATCATCATCATCCTCATCATCATCATCATCATCATCATCATCATGTTCCTCATCATTAGCAGCAGCATCAGCATCACTATCATAAAAATGATCACCATCACCATCATCAGTAGTACCAGCAGTATCATCAATATCATCAGCATCAGCATCATCATCATCATCATCATCATCATCATCATCATCATCATCATCATCATCATCATCTGCATCATCATCATTAACATCATCAGCATCATCAGCATCATCAGCAGCAGCATCAGCATGATGTGCATCATGAGCAGCACGACCATCAGCACCACCATCATCACCATCATCATAATTATCGTCATCATCATCGTCGTCGGCAACAGCAGCAGCAGAACCATCATCCGTATTCCACATCATCATCATCCCTTTCTCCTTGAACTCCCTTTGCAAACTCCTCCCCTGTTGAACCCCCCCCCATGGTCCTCCCCCTTCTCCTCTTCCTGCTCCTCTTCCTCCTCCCTCGCTTCCTCCTCCTCCTCCTTCTCCTCTTCCTCCTCCTTCTCCTCCCCTCCTCCTCCTCCTCCTCCTCCTCCTCCTCCCTACTCAATCTGGAGCGCGATTCTTTATTCGCGGCGGTAACGGGCGTTATTGGGGAAAAGGCCAAAAAGGGGAATAACGTGACGTCTCCCCCCCTGCCGTGCGGTTCCGGCGCAACGAATCGTCGTCGTCGTCAATTTTCTCCTATTGTTTTTTGTCTCTCTCTCTCTCTCTCTATCTCTCTTCTACGAACACCACAAGTGCCTGAAAGTACCGCAACTTGCCCGCGACCACCGCCCCTATGCGGATCAGCACGCGGATCCTTATGCGGATCCCTATGCAGATCCCTATGCGGATCTCTATATATATATATATATATATAAGAAACCCTGAAATCCCAATGCGGATCCCTATGCGGATCCCGGTGGACATCTCTACTCGATCCCCGTGCGGATCCCTATGCGGATTTCTGTGCGGATGCCTATGCGGATCCCTATTCGGGTTCGTATGCAGATCCCGATGCGCACGGCGGCAGCGCAGGGGGCGCACTGGGGGCCGGAGCGTTGCGCTGTAGGGGGGCGGCCGGGGGGGGGGCACAACGCGCGTTATGGCGCAAGCAAGAAAGAAACACGCTCCTGCGTTCCACGTCTTTCACACAATTGTAGCCAGCCTCATAGTAGGCTGCTTCGCATAACGCATTCAGGTCGTGGGTCGTGGGATCAACTTGAACATGTGATCGCGATCTTGGAGCGCATGTAACTCAGGGAGCGGGTCTCCTGGATATGCGGGAGGTGCTGCTGCTGCCGCTGCCGCCATTGACCTCGCTGCGCTACGATGTAAAATCCCGAAGAGAATTCGCTCGAGAACGGATTGATGTGATCTGTTACGAGGCAATGTACGAACTGTGCACTGCTTGGTTACTTGAGCCAAACGGCGTCGGCAGCGACATCCGCCTGACCACTTGACATGTATATCCTTTTCACCCAGTCGCAACGCTATGTTCTCAAACTCCCCCTCCTCCCCTCCCCCTCCTACCTCATCCGCCCTTCCTCCTTCCTCCCTGCTCACGTCAAGTCTGCCAGGATCGGAGACGCTGGGGCCCCGTGCAAAACTGCGAGTCGTCGTCTACGGCGACTCCAGCGGTCGAAGCCTTCTTCTCGCAGGCCCAGCACTTCGTGCCGTCGCCAGTCATGAGAGTCTTCTTGGCCCACTCCACCTCCACACTCCTCCCTCCTCATTCCCCTTCCCTCCTACAGGTTCTCCTCCCTCCTCTTCTGCCTCCATCTCTCTTCCATGTAAATTCGCCGACCCTTCGGCGTGTGTGAGACGCTGTCGTCGTCGTCGCCGTCGTGGTGATCGTCGTCGTGGTCGTCGTCGCCGTCGTCGCCAGTCCAAGGATATTCGAAGAACAAGGAAAAGGAAAGTCGTCACCGAGTCGAGTCCCTTCCCTTTGCCCCTTTCCCTGACGGGGGGCAATGCGGGGGAGGGGGTAGTCAGAATACCGTTTCCCCCTGTGGGCTCCCGGCGGGTCCGGGGAGGCAGCGCCCGCGGGGGGTCCCGGGGAGGCCCCGCCCGTGGCGCGAAGGCCGGCCCGGGGTCCACACGCCGCCCCCCCCGGGCCGGGGCCTCCGCGGCTCCCGTACGGAGGGGTCGCCAGCGGGGGCCCCCGGGGGAGGGGAGGTCGGGCCTTGGGCGGGGAGAATGGTGCCGCGTTCGAATACCGCCCTCGGTTCTGGGGTCGGCAGGTCCCGGGGGGCCCTCGCGAGGGTTATGTTGTTCGCAGCGTACTTCAGGAGCACATCCCAAAAACCATTTCCGGCCCCAAGAGAAGCATCGAAACAGTGTCCAACCCGTGTCCCCTCCCAGGGCCCGACACGCGAACACCCTCGAATTTCGGTACCTTCCTGGTGCTCGAGATTCTTTCTGGTGATCAGGGCTAACAAAGGTTGGAACATCATCACGCGAGGGTCCTGGTAGAGGTCCCACCTGTTCGGGGATCCTCTGACACGGGTCAATCCAGACCCGGGTCAGCAGGAAACCAAAAACTGCAATGCAGGAACAAAAAACTGCAACGCAGGTCTTCGCAAACCTGGGTCAGCCAATATGCGCGGCCGCCTCGCGGCCACGAGCGGCTCGCTAACCCGGGTCAGCCAGAGGAGGTCTTCGCAGGATCCTGCAGGATCTGGTGCCCTGGCTGACCCCCGTTTGCATTGACCCCCGTCTCGAGGCTCCCGACCTGTGCTGGGTGAGGGTGGTCTCGGGTCCCCCCCATGGGGCCACGGCGGGTCCAGGGGGCGGGGTCGCCAGTGGGGGGTCCCTGGGGATGTCCCGTCTTCGGGGGCGGCGGCACCGGCAGTGAGGCCTTCGCAGTGGCTCCTCCCTGTCTCACCCCCAAACGTGTCGGTCGGGCGGGCTGGGCGATGAGCACGAGACGTCCTCGCCATGCATTTGAGGGATGGAAAAACGACCCTACCCTGGGTTACGAGTGCGTGGTCTGTAGACCTCCTGGGAACCCCCAAAGCCTAGGGAGCCGCCAGGACGCCGCACATCACGCAGGGTTTACCCTGTCAGCCCACAGGAGGTTCAGCGCACAGCGCCTCGTTAACCAGGGTAGGGGCGTTGTCTACGCCCTTGATGCATAGCCCTGAAGGTTGAATTCTGGAAGAGGTTCAAAGATGGAAGGCAGGACTTTAGAAAACGTGGCTCTCGCCTCAGCGCCGCACACGCTCGTCTGAAAAGCTTGCAGCATGCTCAAAGATCGAAGGCGGGCGGTGCACAAAAAAAGACTCTCGCCTGAGCGCCGTGCACATTGGTCTTAAACGTTTGTAGCAGTTTCAAGGATGGAGGTCGGGTCCTTTCCAAAACGCTGCTCTCGCTGTCACGCCGCGCATAGTCGTCTTAAACGTTTGTAGCATCTTCAAAAACGAAGGGCGGTTGTTTGTCAAAATGTGGCTCTCGCCTGGGCGCCGCGCGCATTCGCCGTGAAAGTGTGCAACAGTTTCACCCACTTGCAAGGCAGAGGCCCAGGAAGTGTGCTCTGAAACGAAATAGCTCTGTCAGGGCGCAACCGTCTGAATGGCATTCGGGCAGGATTTGTGATTACCAGGACACAACAGTCACGTTGACTCGCGGATCCCAAGAATTGTGCTCTGGACACGACTGCGACCGATTGAGGATACTCAGACGGCTGCCTTTCAATAGGGCACTTCCCGTATTGAAAACATGCCGACCCCTTGCGGGTTTCTAGGCGCGTGACATCCTTCACCTCCGTAATACCCACCCCCAGGACCCCAAACGGGAAATTTGACCCCCCCCCGACCGCGGACGACCGCTGGGTGAACTCACCAGGGGATCCCAGCCCTCCCTGGGGGGGAGGCGCCTAAACGGTCTCAGAGGCCTCCCAGCTCGCCCCGAAACAGCCCAAGAGGCGCCCAAAGAGGCCCCACGAGCTCGCCAACACCGCCTCAAGACAACCCACGGGGCCCCCAAGAATCGCCAAGAGGGCCTCAAAGCGATCCAAGGGCCACCCCAGACGGCCCTACAATGCTCCAAACCGGCCCAAGATCGCCACAAGATGCCCCCAGGAGGCCCCAGGAGGCCATTCACATGCCCGAATCGGGAGCGGCCAAGAAGGGGGTGTCCAAGAGGGGGGGGTGCAAATCATGACCGGCGGCATGTGCGCGGCCCAGCGGGGGGGCCAGGGACGTAATGAAATAAGAAGAGGCGCCATGAAATCTGAGGAAATATCATGGCACACGCCATGATATCCACCCCCCCCTAGTCATCACCCCCTCTTTTCCGCCCCCGACCGAAGACCCTTTCAAGGGGCTTCCCGGGACGCTCAAACAGCCTCCGAGAGGCTTCACGACTGCCTCTGGGAAGCCCCCGAGCGGCCTCCCAGGACATCCCATCGAACCTCCCCGAGGCCCTTCCCCCCAGAACCCAGGCACGGTTGAGCGCTGGGCCAGGGAGCTTTCACAACGACCAGCGACTGCCCCAGCTCCGAGAGGGGATGGAGAGAAGCTACCGACAGCACTGGCCCCCATCATGGCATGGCCATGGTCGACGCCCTGTTTAGTGCTGCCCGTCTTTCTTGCCGACCACTGTCTCGCGAATGCCCTACTCTGCTCGGCCCACGACTCTCTTCGACCGTATGACAGCCTTGGGACAGCTGAGGGTGCTCTTGGAGCTCTCGTGGAGGCCTCCTGTGGCCCTCTTGGGGCTGTCTCAGGAGCCTCTTGGGGCTGTGTGGAGCCCTTATTGGGCCGTCTTGGGACCCGCTTGGACCTTCGTGAGGCCCGCTTGGGCCAGGTTGCGGACCTCTTAGGCCCTCCTCCTCCTCGTGCCCAAGCTGTAGCGGTTTGACTCGACCGCGGCTTACACAGAAGCTGTGGCAAGCGGTCCCGCGGGAGAAAAACAAGGGGTCGGCGGATGTGGCGCAAGCCTATAGAATAAGTTGTTGCATGGACCTATGTAGAGAAAACTTTGAGGGAGGGGCATCAGCGTAGATGCGTCGTCGGTTTACACTGGTCCTCCTGCTCCTTCTCATGTTCCTCCTCACTCGTCCCTCGTCCTATCTTCATCCTCTCCTCTATTTCACCTCCTCCTCCGCCTTTTCCTCCCCCTCATGTATAATGTGTCGTAGTAGTAGTCGTAGTAGTAGTAGTGGTAGTAGTAGTAGTAGTAGTAGTAGTAGTAGTAGTAACAGTAGTAGTAGTAGTAGTAGTAGTAGTAGTAGTAGTAGTAGGAGTGGTAGTAGTAGTAGTAGTAGTAGTAGTAGTAGTAGAAGTAGTAGTAGTAGTAGTAGTAGTAGTAGTAGTAATAGTACTAGTAGTAGTAGTAGTAGTAGTAGTAGTAGTAGTAGTAGTAGTAGTAGTGTTATTATTATCATTAAGAATATGTTTAAAACTAATGGTATGCTTGTGACTGTTACTAATAGCACTATTAGTGATATCGATATGATTGATGATATTAGCATAAGTATGGTTATTGTGTTTGGTAGTACTCTTCTTACGATGAATAAGAATGCGAATAATAATAATAATTAAAAGGGATGGTCATACTCATAATGATAACCATAATTATACTGAAGATGTTCGTCTTCGTGTTCCTCTTCCTCTTCCTCGTCCTCCTCCTCCTCCTCCTCATCCTTCTCGTCCTCCTCCTCCTCCTCCTCCTCCTCCTCCTCCCCCTCCTCCCTCCCGAGGAACCACCTTGCCGGGGGCCCTAAGCACGAAGGGTCGGGTGGGAGGGATTAGGGTGGTAGGGTCCAAGCACAATCCTCCCCTCATCGTGCGTGCACTCACTGGCCACCCTACCACCCGTTACAAACGGTTCCGCCAAAAAAATCAAGCCGTCGACCTCCAGGATCGACCACGTTGGAAAGGGGTAGAAGGGATTTTGACCCCATTGCCCGGACCAGGGGCATCGATCCTCTGGTCAAAGGGGGTCACTAGGGCTGTCCACCCATGGCCCTAAGAGACTCCCCATTTGTGGGATCACCACCCCGAAGTGCGCCGCCGAGGCGCCCGGACCAGGGGCGCTAGCCCACAGGTCAGGAGGGTCGTTAGCGTTGTTCCCTTTTGGCCCGGAGTGACCCCCCCTGTAGGGGCCCCCCGCCCCAGACCTACGAGGGCCCCTCTCCGTTGCAAAGATGCGCCGCGGAGGCGCCTGGACCAGAGGCGCTGCAGAGGTACGCCGTGGAGGCGCCTGGACCAGGGGCGCTGCCCCACAGGTCAGGGGAGGTCGTCGGGGCCGCTCCCTCTTGGCCCTAGAAGACCCCCCAATCGTGGGATCACCTCCCCGGGGTGCGCCGCCGAGGCGCCTGGACCAGGGGCGCTGCCCCACAGGTCAGGAGGGTCGTTAGCGTTGTTCCCTTTTGGCCCTAACGGACCCCCCTATCAGGGGCCCCCCGCCCCGGGCCCACGAGGGCCCCTCTCCTCTGCGGAGGTGCGCCGCGGAGGCGCCTGGACCAGGGGCGCTGCCCCACGGGTCAAAAGGGGGTCGTTAGGGCTGTTCCCGCTTGGCCCTGCGAGACCACCCGTTTGTTGGTAATGGGCGGTAAGGTCCCTTTTTTTCGGACCGCACGCTTCGGTTTCCCAGCGCACGCGCCCTGACCCCACAGAGCCTTGGCCCACCGAGGGAGGCAGTGAGCGATTGACGAGCTCAAGCTGAGCTCGCATATCCTGGCAAGTCGTTGCCACGACGGGCTAACGCGACAAAATCGATGGCATTTTGGACTTGAGCCAGAAACAACAGGGACACTCCTGCTCCTTACTTACACCTCTGCGCGTCCCACACCGCTCGGGATGTAGTTGTTCTGGCCTTCCCCCCCGCGCCCCCGAAAAGTGTGACCCGCCCTCGCGTGGCGGGAGTCGTCTGCCCGTCGCGCGGCCGCCCCGAGGTCGCTTTGGCGCGGAGCCTGGCCTCGGGATGGCCCCCGCGTGGCATCTGACATTTCTGCGATCGACGGGCGGCCACGCCCCGTCTGCGCGGTGGCGTGGCCCCCGGTGGCCGCGTGGCCCTCGCGGGTCCTCCCGCGCGGCGGCGGCTGCGGCGCGGTAGGGAGGAGCAGGAAGAGGAGAAGGAGGAGGAGGAGGAGGAGGAGGAGGAGGAGGAGGAGGCTCGGCTCGGTTCTGCGCTCGGGGGTGCATGTCCAGCTGCTGCTACAGCGTCTCGAGCTCCCCTGCGTGGATCTCTCACGCGCCCTGCATCATCTATACTCGCACGGGCGCGAGCTCAGGGCGGCCCTCTGCATCGCTGAGGCGGGAGGGTGCCCCGTTGAGCGGGAAGGCACCCGCTTTCAGCACACACGGGAGGGAGAAGAAGAAGGAGGGAGGCCACTCTCGGAGGGGGGGGAAGAGGCGGAGATGGGGTGGCCTTGGCGGCTGCTGCTCCCTGGCAGCGCGCGGCCGAGGCTGGGCAGGGCATCGGCCTTCTCCCGTCAGCCCACCAGCCGTCCCCTGGTCGACAGAGCCACAAGGGCCAGGACCCGCCTACCAGGGCCAACCAGTAGGCCCTCGATAGAAGGAAACACGCCCTCTACTCATTCCCTGGCTTTCTCAGCTCTGCACTAAATTTTGAACGAAAAATCTCTGCTCTCTCTCTAAAAGTCTCTTAGCGTGCTGCGACCCTTCAGCATACATTTGCCTAAGTCTAGTCATTGCAACTGGGTCGGCAGCTATCTTGGCCATAGGGTCTGACTGCATTGCTGCTACAAACTCTGCTTCTCTCTCGGACCGACTGCCTATGATCACTAGCATTTCTTCTGCAGCGCCATCAACTGGCGCTCGACCACCCTGTCTAGCTCCTCCTTCGGCCCGCCCCCCACTGGCCTGTGCCCCCCCGCCCTGTGCAACGCCACTCCCATCGCCTGGAGGAGCCGCACGCCGTTGAACTCCGTCGGAGGCTTGGCTCCCGTCGGCTGGATTTTCATCTGCTTCATGGCCGTCGCGATGTCGTAGCGTGGGCTGAGGGCGAACATAACCTTCGCCATGCGGTTCCCGTCGTCCATCTCGTCGTCCGCCCTGAACGTGTCGCTCACCTTGAACATTAGGATCGTCTTTCCTACGAACGCCTGCCCCGCCTCCGACTCCGCCTGCTCTACCCACTGCGTGATGCTGATCTTCGCCTGCGCCCCCTCTTGCTCGTTTTCGCCCAGGCTCGTCGCCATCGCCTCGATCGCCGCCACCGACACGTGGAGGCACGGCGGCCCTAGACCGTGCCCTTTTCCGAGAGACTGCACTTTTTCGTTGTAACTCGAGCCCGTCTCTTTTGCTGCTTCGATGATGTCGTGCCCTGGCGGCGCGAGCCAGAACTCTCCGACGATATTTGGTAGATCTCTGGCGACGGCTGCTGTCCTGATGCTGAGGCTTTGCACCGCCATCACCGCTTGTACGATGTCTCCGCCTGCTGCATTTCCGTGCTGGCGAGCCTTCTTGCCACCCTTGCCCTTCGGCAATGTTGCTACTGGAACGTCTCCACTCCCGCTGCCGCCTGCCCCTCTCTTGCCGATCCCCCATCCCTTCATCATGGGCGCCCACGACAATGCATGGGCCGAAGTAGCGGTAGCGGGCGTGCTGGTGAAAACTCGCGATGTCAGGGAATGCTTGATCACAAATGTTACAGACCAGCGACTCTGGGGGGAAGATCGGGTGGGGCCATCTTGATTTATCCACGTGGCATACTCCGCGTCTTTGACACGCACGCACGCAATGATCTAGGGCCACCCTCCTCGTCGAGAACCCCGAGAGGCACCACGGGCACTGATTGGTGATGACTATAGTGGAGAGGGCATCCCTGATGTTGCGTGCTTCTCTTACGTGGCCTTTCAGGGCGCCGATGCTCGAAAACCTTTTTCCGCATATCCCTCCCCCTCCCTCCTGATGGTCGCACCAGTATGGTTTGTTTACATCTCCTCCAGTGTAACCTCCTCGTCGGCGACGCCCTCCTCCTCCTTCTCCTGGACCTCGGGACCCACCTTTCTTCTTTTCTTTGTGTCCCCTAGGATATGAGGATCGACCAGTGGCCATCTATCATGTGCCTCGGTACCTGGTAGGAAGATGTCCAAGTCGCTGGCGCGCGCATTATACCAAACCGACATGCTCTCATCCACCTGGACAAGCTCGCCCATGTCCTCTCGAAACTGGGCAGCCCACGGAGTGGACTGACCTGCACTACCTGGGGGCCACACGTACTTGTCTGGGGTCATCCTCGGGGTCTGCAGTAACTGACCCAGGCGAGAGTCTCCAAATACAGCCGCGAGAACTCCGCTGTGCTGCTCTGGGTACTTAGCCCACGCGCGGTACCATTTTAACCTTCTCATTCGAAGAGTTGCGTCTGTGTCGTTGAGACCCCAATACTTAAATATTTTTTTGTTTGTGCTGCATCTTGTGTCACCTTTTTCATCCGTCCAACTCAGGTCTCCTTCTGCTAGACATCTCAGTAGCTTAGCTAACGTCGAGCCGATGACTTTAATCAGGGACGGGGGGGGGACGAATACTACCATACCACTGCAAGCAGCTCCAGTAACGAAAGCCTCGAACATCATCTTTTTCATTGTCTTACTTGTTCGTGCCTTCCAGAAAGCCCCACATTGTCTCCACGCCACCTTTGCAGCAGCACATCGCCGAGATACTTCACCGAGCAGTCCCTGGTCCGACGGAATGTATGGCCCCAGGACCCGAACCTCTCTGCAGGCAGCTCCGTGTAGCTCCTTTGACCTTCTTAGCCTCCGGGTTGCCTAGTAACTGCCCTCCCCTCGAAGACAGAGAAGATGGTTCGTCTTTCCAGCATTGAGTGTCCACCCTCCTTTCTCGATGACCCTTTCCAGCCTGCGCGTCGAATCATTCAGAAACTGCGTGATGACTTCCGAGCTGCAACCCTCTGTAATCACATGTATCTTCGCGATGTCATCCATGAACGTGCTGAGAGACAAATTGTGGTATGTGTTCGTGATCGGGTGCTCTGTCTCTAGTAGCTCGTGATGCCCGTGCTCGTGCCCCCCCTCCTCCCACTCCTCGACGTGCTCATTGTATATGTCATTGAAGTCCCTGGGCGCAAGTGTGAACCCCATCTGCGTGCCCGTGTGGCTTTGCAAGTGTGCCACGCCGTTCGATGCTCTTATCGTCAGCGACTGATGGACAATAGCTCCCACTGCAAATTGCTTGTCTCGCTCTAAAGCCTGCATCTCCACAAGGTCGCAGGGGGGTTCACGTGATGCACCCGCGAATGCATTCGTGCAGTCATAATTGCTGACGACGATCGACACCCCTGCAACCTCTGCCCTCCATTTACTCCCGAGCAGGCAGATCAAAGCGTTCCCCCTGGAGCGCGCTGCCAGTCCGCCTTGCGCCCATACAGGGCGAGGCCGATACGGAGCACGTCGGTGTATGCCGCGATGCCATCCCATCCCCATGCTGCAATACGTGCGCATGATCATCCTCCCTCCTACGCCCTTCTTCCCGTTCCCTTTCGTGACATCGAAGGCCAGCGATCTCTTGGTATCCAGAGGCATTTCTTGTGTTCTCCGAATGTGCACAAGGAGCTCCATGAACTTACCTTCAAACTCGTAGCTGCTGCTTCGAAGGTTGCTCGCTCCTACACCTGCTCTCCTTCCTCTTTCCGCCTCCCACGCCTCCGCCTCCACCAACCCCGCTGGCTCTCTTAGTGATACCTCTCTCTGCCGTCTTCCCACCGTCTCCCCGATGCTCCACCCCATCTTCTCCAACAGCTTCCTGCCAACCTGGAACTTAGCTAGTGTGGTGTACTTGTCTAGCTCCTCCTGGCCCTCCTTCTCCTCTGCCTCCCTGATCTTCCTGGCTTCCCATATTTCACTCTGGCTGCTGGGCTTTTCCATGTTAACCTTCGGGTCAACAATGAGGGGGGAACGCCCCTGTAGGTAACCCCCAGGGTGGATAGGCACGCCTTTTCCTTGGCTCTTGAGAGGTATTTCCTAATCGCGATCTTGTCCTCATTCGCCCAGGACTGAACGCCTGCGTCTAAAGGCAGAAGCTCGTCATCGTGCGACTGGTAATCTATATCTCTGTTCTGCTGCCAGTCTAGAAGCGTGCACGACATGCCCCCTTCTGCTGCCCTCTCCCCAAGTTCAGCTTGCCAGGTCTCAATATCCCAGTACGTCTGCGGAGCGTAGTCGTATCTTTTTGGGGGTCCTCTTCCATTGTTGGCATACTGGACTCTCAAACGGTGCATGAGGGAGAAATTCCTGTCCTGGTAGGCCTCCCAGATTTCCTGGACGAGCTCCTCCCTACGCCTAGCCAGGTCCTTATTCCTGAGAATTTTCAGCGCCGCCGTGTATTCTTTCAGCTCAAGCTTGATCCTGCCAAGCTGCTATTCGTCGATCTCTGGCTGCAATCCTTCTCTACACTGTCGACGCTGTTCTAGTGACTTCAGTCTCTCTTTTGTTAAACTGTTTCATATATTTCGGCTTTTTTATTATTCTGATCTGGGAAGACTGTCTTAAGTGCTCCCCCCACGGCTTCTACGAAGAGGGCCCAAGCTTCATCTGGCCAGAGCTTATCAAGAGAGGTCGACCACTCTGCTTCTTTCTCCTGCAGCCTTCTGTCCACCTCCTCGTACAACTCCCTCCTCTTCCAACCCGTCCTCAAGCACTTCATCAACCCGTCCCTGTCTACCTTTTCCTCTCGTTCTGGCTTCGGGTGGCGGTAAAGATTGACTGTAATTTCCATGCCAAGAGGGAGATGGTCGCGGCGTCCTCTAGCCTTTATACTTTGCAATCTCTTGGCTGGCCCGTACAGGCATGCACAGTTAGTAATATGTGGTAGTGCGCCTGCTGAGATAAGGAGATGGTCGATCCTGCCGGCACCTCCCTTGCTACCGTAGAACGTGGGGCACGTGGGAAAAATAGTACATATAGCTAGCGTGCACATCTCTCTGAGCTGCTTGCCATTCTGATTTTCCAACTTGGGCGCCACTTGTCCACTGTGTCTACCTGGATCCACAACGACCATTCCGTCGCCGTCTCTGTACAAGCCGACGTCCGAGTTTATGTCCCCTCCTATGATGATCGCGGTGCGCGTGGGCAACATGACCATCTGCTCTTCGAGCCATGCCGTGATCTTTTTTTCTATCTCAGCGTGGTTCTTGTCATGGACGGCCGCAAAGTAAACATTGAACACTGTGAAGTCGCACTTACCATATTTTCATCTCACGCCTGCTACACGCCCCTGGAGTCCAGCGGGTGGTCTAAGTATCTCGTGTAGTGCTTCCCTCCTTATGCGGTGCGTGACTAGGAAGCTCAGGCCGCAGCTGGAATTGATCAATCTCCCTTTCTTGTACCCACAGCTAATGATCCAGTGCCTGATGTGATTGTGTCTCTCTTCTGCTTGGTCAGGGAGTGCCCTCTTCTGGGTGCCGTTCAACGGCATGAGGTCCCATGATCTGAGCTCCGCTGATATATCTTCTATTCGCTCCGAGAAGTTGCTGGCGAGAGGGTTGTAGGTGCAGATGCGCATACATGAAAAGAGAAAAAGTAATGGCGTGTATATGCTGCTACCTCCCTGCCCCGCTTCCCCGCGCCCTGCCGAAGATGCGGGCGCGCGCGCTCCCGCCCCTGCCCCCCAGCGTTGCCTGCGGGCTGGGCGTCGCTTTCTGAGCTCGCAGCGGCAGCTAGGAGGAGGAGGAGGAGGAGGAGGAGGAGGAGGAGGAGGAGGAGGAGGAGGAGGAAGAGGGGGGGGAGGGGGGGAGGAGGACGCGGGGGAGGAGGAGGGCGAGGAGGAGACCCACCTGCCGGCGCGACGCAGCTGCTGGGGCCCCTTGGGCCACGAGGTCCCTTTGCGCGGCCCTGCCGCGCGGCCTCTCGGCCGCGGCGCTGCCCACGGCGGTGCCTCTCAGCGGCGCCTCACAAAGCCCTGGCGTTGGAAAGCAGGCGCGCGCGGGCACGAGTGGAGTGCGAGGGTGACTACCTACCAGACCACCCCAACCGCACCCGAAGACCCGAATTTCGGGTTTGGGGGGGCATGGGTTCCATACGTGTTGTTTCGATGGTCCCCGACCCCCCCCCCCCACTGGAAATGGATGGCAAATTGAAGCCTTCGGGTTGGGTTGGGGCGGTTTGGTAGGTGGTGAGAGGGGCGCACATTTGTCTGCGACACTGCCCGTCACGCGATCGGTTCGGCGACGTGGCCGCAACGTTCGTTCAGAAGCGGGCCTCGCCATCGCGGGACTGCGACTCACGGTCTCTGCCAGCCCCTCTGTGAACTTGTCCTCTGCGGCGTGGGACCGCGCAAGGCTACCCTTTGCCTGCGATACGCTCTACAAGGTTGGCGTTGTGCGCGGGGGGCGGAAAGGAGGGGCGGTTGCCCCTACCCTTCTAGCGTTACGACTCAAGCAAGGACTTCACGGTGGAAGCACCATATGCCTTTTCATCAGTCAGTTTGAAGGGCCACGGCCTCCCGCGCGCCCGCTCGGCATTCGTCGGCCCTTGCCCGCGCTCGGCTTGCAGTGGGCAGATCGCGCACAGTCCGGGCGCGGGCAACGACCCTGCGGACAGGCATGCCAAGAAAGGCGCACTCACTGCAGGGCAGTCGTCCGCGTCAGAAATCACAGCATGGGTGGACGAGAGCGTCTCCTTGAGGCGATATCTCCTGCACGCAGTCCGGGCGTTACTTTTCTACCCGAGGCTCGCCCCCTCCCGAAGCCACGCGCGCCATTTTTTTTTAACCGCGCGGCGAAGAGCACCAGGATTCAAAACGGTGCATTGGGGCCGCCTGCCAGGCGCCCCCGCTCCCACCGCCCGAGACCCCGCCCTCGCCCCCACCGCCCCCTGCCCCCCCCCTCCAAAAAAAAAATCAGCATCTTCGGCAGCTGCTCCAGCGAACCCAGAAGGGCATGCGCGGGCTCGGCGTCGCACCCGCTGGGCGTGCCAGCGCTGCTTGCAGCCTGGTCACGAGCGACGGCAGGCCCGCGCCCAACGCGTCGCCTTGCCGCGGGGACAGCGCAGCCCTCTCTGCTCCGGTCGCCAACATAGAGGGGTCACAGATTGCACGCAGCAATCTGCTCCCACGGTGTTCTGCTTATCTGCGGCTAGTGTGGCGCCTACTCTGAAACTGGCGCTCTGCGTTCCATGGGTAAGGAATGCCCGCCAGGACGCGGTGCGCCGCCCAATGGCGCACAGCATTCTTGGGACAGGTTCGCCAAAGGTCAACACCCCACTTCGAGAGTTGGCCCCGCCTCCTTCTGCCTTGACGAGCGTCTCCCCGTCTCTGGCCTCTTTTCACATTAGTTAATGCACATTGGGTCGTTTGCGGCCTGTGGAAGACATGATTCGCCCCATCCTGCGGCCGCTGGCGCGATCTGCGGATCGGCCCACTCCTCCGGGCTGAGGGCCCATGCCGCCCGAGGCCCCCGCAGAGATGTCTCGGCAACATGTGCTCGCCCGGGCGCGCTGCCCCCGCGGCCCCCATCAACAGGCAAGCGCGGTGGCTCGTTGCCCTCATGTTTCCGTGGGGGGCAGGGGTAAGAAACATCCGATATCGCACACCTTGTGTAATTTCCAAACGTGCGCGACCCACGTCGACGGCGACGGCATCGAAGATGGGCCTGGTAGGGACAGAAACCCTTACCCGGCCCCACGGGGGATATTTATATGTTTTCTCTCTCGCTCTCTCTCTCTCTCTCTCTCTCTCTCTCTCTCCCTCTCTCTCTCTCTCTCTCTCTCTCTCTCTCTCTCTCTCTCTCTCTCTCTCTCTCTCTCCCTCTCTCTCTCTTTCTCTCCCTCTCTCTCTCTTATCCCTCTCTCTTTCTCTCTCTCTCTCTCTCTCTCTCTCTCTCTCCTCTCTCTCTCTCTCTCTCTCTCTTCATCTCTCTATCTCTCTCTCTCTCTCTCTCTCTCTCTCTCTCTCTCTCTCTCTCTCTCTCTCTCTCTCTCTCTCTCTCTATCTCTCTCTCTCTCTCTCTCTCTCTCTCTCTCTCTCTCTCTCTCTCTCTCTCTCTCTCTCTCTCTCTCTCTCTCTCTCTCTCTCTCTCTCTCTCTCTCTCTCTCTCTCTCTCTCTCTCTCTCTCTCTCTCTCTCTCTCTCTCTCTGACGCCCGCGCGTGGAAAAATTTTAACTCGCATCCATTGGCGGCGTTGTGGGTCCGCTGGAATCGCCATTTTGCGCGGCGGCGCTCCGCCCACGGGCCGCCGGCCGCCTCAACTGCGCAGACCCGCTTGCGTCGCGGTCGCGAACCACTCCAGGATTCACGCGCATGGAACGACGTCATTGACAGCGACCTGCCCGGCGGCGCTGGCGCCGTTCCTCATCGCGGGCAAACCAGGCCGGCGTAAAACCAGCGCGCGCAGTTTGCCCCCGTGCGATGACTGCGGGAATGGCAAAGCATAGAGAAGGACACGGACGGCTATCATATGACGCGAACAGGTCGCCCGGGCGCAGCGCAACCACCTGCGCAAATTAAACTGCGCTGCGCGCCAACTTATGCAGGGGCCCGCATGTCTCGACGGCGTCGTCAGTTTCATTGCAGTGGGATGGGGCATCGGCCAGCGGTCTGTCCGCTAATATTGGCTCGATGCTTGGCATCCGCGAAGAGTTCGCCGCGCGCTTGCCGCCCGCGGCGGCGGGGGTGCCCAGCGGCAACGCATGGATGCGGATGGCGAAGCGGCTTCGGCGTTCACCTGTTAATCGATTCGGGCAGACCCCCGCAAGGCGCCCCCGAGCCCATCTTTCGAGACCAGGGGGTCGCGGGGCGACATTCGCGACAAAGTGAATTTGATGTTTTTTGAAAGCGCTGGGAGGCCCCATGTTCTAAAAAATGTTTACATTTGCACTCGTAACTCTCCATAACTCTTTCTCAATCTTGAAATGCGCCCGAAGGCAATTGCAAGGTCGCCCCCGGCATCATTGAGACTTTTCTGGCGAGGCTCGTCTGCCTTTCGACGCAACGGAAACTTCTCCGCAATCTTGCGCCGCGTTCAGGCACCTTGCGCGCCCGCGGGAAACTCGTGGACGCGGGCTCGGCGGTCTGGGGCAGGGCGGTCGACGATTTGCATGCGCAGGACAAACTGGGACGCCAATGAAATCGCCAGTTGTCGCACTCATCCTCGTCTACGCGGCGCGTGGTCGAGCCCCGACGGATACGGATACTGCGTTCGCGCGGCCCGTAGCTGCCCCTCGCTGTTGATGGCCTTTCGCAGCTGTTCGCGCCCGTCCGCGGCCGTTCTCCGTCGCCCCCGCGCGGGCGAGAGCTGCTCGCGCCGTTCGCTGCCGCCCCTGTCGCGGTCATCGTGAACCGACTGGGGCGGTGCCACCTTGCCTGGGCAAACGGTTTTCTCGCGAACCGTCGTCTCAGGTAAGTCAGCCGCGGCGGCGACGGCGGCGGCCGCGGCGCGGCGGCGCGGGGGCGGTCCCGTCGCGGCCAGGGAGCGGGCTTGCCAAAGCAATGCCGTCCAGAACCTGTACGCGCTGTGCCCACCGCGCCCCAAACCAGTTCAACCAGAATTGTGTTGAATCACTTCGCCGGCTCAAGCTCATCGCGGTTTCCACCCTTACGCGCGCGTGCCTGCTCACGTTTGTTCGCTCACGCATGCGTCGTCATAAGCGCGCGTCGCGCGCGCAAATATGCATGCGTGCTCGTTCGAAGTGTTCACGCTTCTAAACTGCACATACTACCCCGCTGGTAGCAGCTGATGTCCTCTCTGACTTTCGCCGCCCCCATTTGTCCCACCCCCACAGTCAAACAAATGATAAGCATGCCTCACAGTCGCGACGCGGCTGTGCGCGATCAGCGTGCATCAGGACATCCGATACACGATTACTGCTGAAGGCGAAAGGTGATTTGTTATCACGGCAAAGTGGTTTTGTCGGAGGACACGGCGGACCGTGGGGGCCGTCCTATACGCTCCCCAAGCTCGCCGGTGTCATGCAAGAGTTCGATCTGGCAATTTCTCGCGGCTGCCTTGCAAAAGGTGAACCCGGCGACATTTAGTCTTACGCCTGACTTGAACCTTCAGCGCGTTTCCCCGTTGTGTTGGGTCGATGCTAGGGCGCAACGGTCTAGACGGGCTCGCTCCTGGACCAACCAATTGCCCCCCAGAACCGCATCCTCCAGCTCGCGGATGGTTTGCACGAAGGTCCTACACCCGACTTGAGCCTTCGGGTGCTTCCCGAGTTCTTGGGCAGACGGTCGGGCGTAAAGGTCTGGACTGTTCACACCTGGATCGAACTACTGCCCCAAAAAACTGCCTGCTCGAGCTCACGGATGCCTTGAGCGATCATTGGGTTAAGCCTTCGGCGAACTGACCACACCTGAAGGCTCATCAAACAGAGCGTGGAGCACGCACGTTCCGCATTGTGAGGGGCGCGTTCGCATACGACCCTGACCTTTTCCCATGCAATTCCCTATCGCACCACATACACTCAGGACTTCAAAGACGAGACTTTCACGTGGTCGTGGATCACTGAACTCTGAGGGTCACCTCATCCTTAAAGATGGGCTTTAAGCGCCCTGGAGTCCGATTGCCTAAGTGGCAGTCCTCTTCCTCCTCTCATCATCGTCAACATCATCATCAGCATCCTCATCCTCAGCAACAGCAGCAACAGCATCAGCATCATCATCAGCATCATCATCATCATCTCACCACCACCACCCTTACCACCACCACCAACAACACCACCATCATCACCAACCGCAACAATTGAATCAGACTCATCAGCATCAGCATCATGATCATTATCCTCAACATCATCATCACCACCACCACTACCATCATCATCAGCAGCAACATCATCATCAGCATCACAATCACCAACATAATCAGCATCGTCATCACCAGATCAGCATCATCATCAATATCACCAGCATCCTCCGTATCATCACCATCATCAGCGACCTCCCACGTTCCTCCGCACAGCTCCTACACTACCTCATCCCTGCTGCATTGTGTTTCTTCTGTGCGTCCGAAACTTCCCCCTGTTTATCACACAGCGTCAGGCACGTCTTACTCGAACATCGCACTGTTAACACGCTCTCCTTCCACTTCACGTTGCCCGTGCGCGCTCTTCCTCTTCCTGCTCCTTGCCCTCTGTCCTCTTCGTCATCATCCCCCTCCTCACCATCATCATCCTCCTTTCCGACTGCTCCCTCTGATGATCGTCGCCCTCCCTCTTGCTCTCCCTACACGTTATTTTTCCCGAGACTTGGCTTGGTGTAGCGCCATTGCGGAGTCCATCTCCAAAGACGAAGGAACGCCCACAACAACTCCAGACGCCAAGAGACATCGCTCCAGAAAATTTGATGTGGCGTAAGCCTAGAAAACCATCATCACCATCATCAGCATCGCCATGATCGGCATCATCATCAGCATCATCATCAGCAGCATCATCAGCAGCATCATCAGCATCATCATCCTCACCACTACCATCACCATCACCATCATCACCATCATCAGAAGCATCAGCATCATCATACTCCCTTCTCCTGCGCCCCGCTCCCCAATCCCCTCCCCCTACCTCCTCCCGCCTCCTCCTCCACCAACTCTGCATCCACCTCCTTCACCTCCTCCTTCTGCCCTTCCTGTTAATCCTCATCCACTTCTTACTCCCCCTCCTCCTCCTCCTCCCCCTCATCCTCCTCCTCCTCCTCCCTCTCCTCCTCCTCCTCCTCCTCCTCCATCACGTCCTCCTCATCCTCCTCCTCCTCTTCCCGTATCCTCCTCCTCCTCCTCCTCCTCCTCCTCCTCCTCCTCCTCCTCCACCTCCTCCTCCTCCTCCTCCTCCTCCCCCTCTTCATCCTCATCCTCCTAGTCCCGTATCCTTCTTCTTTTTCTTCTTCCTCCTCCTCCTCACCCCCTCCTACTCCTCCCCTCCTCACCCTCCTCCTACTCCTCCTCCTCCTCCTCCTCCTCCTCCTCCTCCTCCTCCTCCTCCTCCTCCTCCTCCTCCTCCTCCATCCCCCCTGTGCCCCAGTCATCCATCTCCGCGGCCCGCTCCACCTCGGGGTCGCGGGAGGTGGGGCACGCGCAGGGCTCCGGCGTGCAGATGCCCATGTCGGTCGTGCAGATCGTGGGGTAGCACCTGGGTCCGCCGCGCGAGGGGAGCACGGCTGCTCGAGCCTGGGCATCGCATGGCAGCGCATCCATCTATCACACTGGGCCTGGCATGGCCTGGAGCACACTCCATCTCTCATCCTGGGCCTCCCCGCCTCCCTCCTGTGCCTTCCCCATCACCCTCCTTCTCCTCCTCCTCCTCCTCCTCCTCCTTCTCCTCCTCCTCCTCTCCTCCTCCTCCTCCGTTCTCGATGCTGCTGCTTCTCCTCCTGTACTCCCCGTCGTTCG